ATCATTATAAAATTTGATGCAAACAAATAATTCAAAACGAAGTCTTCTCAGATTGAAAATCAGGTCAATAAATTCTTCAGGATTGTATACTCTCCAATAAATCTTCTACAAGTCATGCAAGCTAACATTAATTGCTTAAAATCTTCATTCTAAAAAGTCATCCCATTCCAGATATATCTCCAATGCCAATCAAAACATCTTAAACCTCAGAAACGCTATATAAGTTTCAGTCTTAATCCACTTGTAGTCATCTAACTCATTGTGATTTTAATTTATAAGATAACAAGAGCAGTAAACAAAAATTTGACGACCATAAAATTAAAAAGCAGCCAGTCATCGTTATACAACCGACAGAGACGGAGAGAGAATGAAAGATTATTGCTAAATCTGTGCATCTTATAACTGCCATATTTATTAGACTGTTAAATGACACGTTGTACGCGCGCGAACACCAAAATGTGAATTATGTGAATGTAAAGAGAAGACTCGAAAATGTAAAAAGATTACCTTTGTATTAAACAGACGGTTGACTAATGAGCGAAGATGAGAAAGGGAGAAGTTTGAGCGCGCTAAATGTTGAATGTATAGCAGCATTTGTAATATTTAATGCACATACATATATACATAACATCTGTCTACACAATGGAATAGAGCATTTAAAAGAAACATGACATGAAGTAAGAAGTGAGCAATACTAACCTGCTCAATATTAAGAAATCCAATCATTATATAAGACCATTCCGCTGCTATGACCCCGAAACGTAAAAAAAATGAATTAAAGCAGTATAAAATTGAATAAGAGAAAAGAGAATTGAATTGTGAGAGGGAAAGATTGAGTAATTAAATTCCATAAGATTTATGCTGTTTGCACCAATATTTAATTATTCTTGACTTCTCAAAGTTGAGTCACACACTTTCATGCAACTATTTGAAGTTTTTGTACGTGCTAACGTTTGGTACGAATGAGGGAAATAAAAGCTATGCATATAAAATTCTCGGCTTCTCTCCCCTTTTATTTTAGTTCTTAAAGAGTCACGAAGCTTAAAAGCATTTAATGAATACATGTTCTGGATGTAAAAAGCTCTATTCTATATTTATACCAAACATTAAAGGAAATTGAATTTTTTTCTTCCATCCTATTCGAATCCAGAGATGTAGCCAGAAAACTCAGTTTTCTGTTTTTTGTGAAGAGGGTTTAGACCCCCTCATACCCCCAGTTACGCTCATGTCTGTGTCTGTACTCTCTCATTTTCGTCCATACACACATGATACCTATGAATGGTCAGTGAGACTTACAGAGCATGATATTGACAACATAATTGGTGTATGGTAAACACGTCAATCTCACGTGCTGAAGCTTACATAAATGCTCCTTTTAAAGTAGTGCCTAATGAAGGCAAATTATCCTTTATTTAATGAGAAAAATGTAAATTTATTAAACTTCCTATAATTAGAACTTGATGATCTTTAATGATAATGAAAGGAGGAAACTATTTTGCTCTCTCACTTTCCCTTGTGCTGTATAGCGCTATGGCAAATTTATCTACTTACTAATTAGTCGAGAGATAATTATTTCAATTTAAAAATATATCGTACTGCTGCACAATAATTTGAGATGAATAAAAATATTTGTTTAAAAAATTAATTTTGCTGAAAGTTTTATGTTGCAGTAGACTAATTGTTACACGATAGATTAATACTGCTGTGACTTTGGCATTGTTTGCTTTCTAGTGTCATTGAATCTTGGATTTAGACATTTAATTTGAAAAAATTAAGGATTGATTTTGAAATTTGAATAATTTTTGAAATGAATGAATTATGTCATCTCAGATTTGATCAAAAACCTTACAAATTATTAAACATTGGGAAAATTTGTAAGGTTTTCAGTCAAAAAATGAAGTTTTAACTGATTTTTAAGAGCAAAAACCTTTCAAATATAGGAATTTTAAACCTTACAAATGTTTTTAAAAAGATATTCTGAGAGGTTTCAAAGCACAAAAATTAGAAGTTAAAAGAGTTTTGAAGCGCTTTAACATGGAATCTGAAGAAATAAATCTTTATGAATCAATTTATCAAATATATTCAACAATTTAAAGCTTTAAAGATACTCAAAAACCAAACTTACTCGTAAATCTTAAAATAAATCAACTTCTCAAACCAAAAAGTAATTAACAGGCATGTTTAATGACCATGAACATGCCAAAAATCGGTGTTAAAATGGGAAACACTAAATCCTTAAAATATTCTATAGATTTAAGCACTTAATTTTCAATTTTCAGAGAGAAATTCAACATTTAAATTTACATCGAGTGCCATTAATTTCTGAACTTTCTCATTCGCCATAAAACGGTAAGAGATACTCAATCCCAAAGCATGCAATGAATTATATTTGTGCAAGATGAAAAACTTTTTCTTGTGAGAATTCTAAAAAATAAAAGTTCTGGAGTCTTGCTATGCACATAAAAGATGAATGAAGGAAAATTTCTGCATCAAAGAGGGTCGTTAATATATAACGTCCAATAAGGGGATCGACAAATAAATCTTCTATGATTAAAACTGATTAATTTTGATAATTTTGGGACTGAGGGAGAGAGGAAGGGTATGAATAGACGTCACTAGCGAATGATCCCCATATGAAATGAGAATATTTCTATGAATGAAACTATTAAACAAGGAAGTTATTTATCGAGATAGCAAAAATATTACGAAATATATCTTAAACGTGCTGCACGTGATATGTGATATTCGAACATATTGCTATGCTAGTTGCTTCATACTGCACTTATTAAACGATAGGGATTATCAGTTCAACAAATTGCGACCACAAATTTGCCGAGATTAAAGTCAAATCTTTAACAATAATTCTCAAAAGCCATGTCAATTTTAAATGTTCAATCCTAAAGCCTCATTAAGTCAATTTTCATTCATTGTTATTCATGAATAATTAATTTAATAATAGAGCGGGGATGGATCAAGAAGCCGAATAAGATTTAGGCAAATGCTAATTTCATGTTTACAATAGTCTATGAATTAAAAATTCAAGAATCAAGATTTATTCATCCTTTTTCTTGGAGCTTCTTGTGAAAACTTTTGATTGATTCAAATTTAAATTAAATAAGCTCTTTTATTCTTCTTTATTCGCTGAAAAAATAAGCTTGGCATAGATACAGAGCACTGGTGACATTAACTGAAGCGCATATAATTGAAGTTGATGGAATGGAAGCAATGAAAATAACGACTGTTTAGAAAATAACGGTCAAAAAATATTTGAAAATATTTTTTCAATCTCTGTTCTGATTTCTTAATTTGGTCTTCTACATAAAATCTAGATCAATAACAAACAAGGTTTGATCCCTAAACTGAGTGGTTGAGCTAAACTCTGACAGACAAAATAAAAATAAGAGCATCCTTTAACTTTACAAAAATTCGCTAAATAGAAAAATTTTCTCATTTCCTATGAAGCATAAACTTTTCTGTTCCAATTATCCTCAACTACTCAAGAAGCTTTAGCAGAAACTTAAACAAATGGAAACGATATGAAAAAATCTATTCAAGCGTCATAAAAAAGTTTTCATGAACGCTTAAGAATTTTTAATAAAATTAAATTAGAGAAAGCTACAAAGTTTTAAATTATTCAAATTTACATTTCACTGCTGTATACACAGCTAGATCATTATCATGTGCAAACATGATGGAAATACATTGTATGAAATAATTTTTTATTCCACAGAATTTACATTTGCTTTTAAGCTTGATGTGTGATATCGAATCAATTAAATGTGAATAATACTTTGATTCAAGGATATAGATGACAAATGATTAATTAGAGGCTATGAATTTTTGATTGATTTTGAGTCTATTCAGGCAGTTGTGTAATTAGAAATCAATAATTCATTTTAATTTGCATCTAATGGATTTCTAGTTTAACACAAATGAAGTTAAAGTATTTCAATATTGTAAAAAAATCATCCTTAAATCTGGTAATGGCAAATAATGTCATAAAGGAACTTAATACCGGTTAATACCGAATCAAAACAGATCATTCAAAGTCATATTAGAAGGATTTTATTAAATGGAATTACGGGAATTACTTAATTATCAAAAACTTACTTTGTAGTGTTTAAATGTTGATTTTTCAAAATCTTCAGCAATGCTTCTTACTGGACGGTATTTCAAATTCAATAACAAATTCAACAACTTTAACTTTACTCCACACTGTTTCACACTTTATAATGATGTAAAAATTTCAAAAATTCTCAATTAATGAAATCAATTTCAAAAGCCAACTTCAATTTCTGTTGAATTCCATTCAACAATCTTTTTATAATCCAAACAATAAGCAATGCTTTGTAGTCATGTGATATTCAGATCCTTTATCTAATGTCATCAAACAGTCAATTTAAAGAAGATTGCCTACGACATTTGTTGCTGCACATTATACTAATGCTAGCTCATTTGTATTCGATCAAGAGATTGCAGGATGATGTATCAAATTACAGCCAGTAAAGAACTTGATCTCCTTTATTCTGTCCATTAAGAACAATTATTATCTAATAACGATAACATTTGAAGTTTAAGAGTACTTAATCTACTTGATTCAGACTTTAAGACTCTATCGTCGATCAGGATTACAAAAACTGTAGCTCATTGCATTGTTTAGGTCCACATAGCTTCGAAGGAACCCTTTTGCTTTCACTATTAAGTTGATAAATGTTAAAAATACACAGAATCGTTGACCAAAAGCCTATAAATATTAATCTGGATGATCCAGATTAGTCGATTCTTCAATTGTTAAATCCATTCCAAAATGTTTCAAAGTTATAGACTAAAACAAATTAATAGTGGAATGTCTAGAAATTCCAATAAATAGACACGAACGTTTCATTGAAACCAATTCGGTAGTTTAAAAAAATTCAATATTTCAATCAAAAAATCCAGGAACAAAAACATCTTTTTTTGCAAACTTTATTTTTAGCATATTCTATATTATTATTATTATTATTTTTTCTGAAAGCGCGATAAACTTCTTTTTTTGAATGTATGTATGTGACGAAAGGAAACTGATAAGAAATTAAATTAAAAAATCATTTGTTTCAAACTCAAACAATTTTTTCTTCTTCTTCTTCAATTTCGTCTTCTCTCTTTTTTCCGAAATTGTACATGTGACAAACAAAAAAAGAGTTTATCTGCATCTAATAGAAAATATTGTATAAGTTCATGTTATTCACTCTAATCATTGCTATTTTGTGTATCAGTGGAGCTTTTTGGCGGATCAGTTATGAGATGATACAAATGATGCCGTAATGGTGAATGTTGGTCATCATCGATACTTCGTTTACTTGAACTACTAGGTGACCTAGGCGACGATGAATGAGAACTTGGTGACATGAAAGGAAACTGATTGCGTGGGACATCATCATAGCTTGGCATGTAATCCGATTGTTGTGGATTATAGTATGGTGTTCCATGTTGACTCAGTACTCTTGGATGTGGCGAAGGCATTGGACTTAACCATGTTGTATATCGGATGTTCATTGGCCTAGTATAAACCATCGAACGGCGTGGATATGGCGTAAGTGATGGGAAATATACATCGCTCCATTTGCAGGCAGCTTTCGGTGTAAATTCACCCTTAACAAACAAATAAATTGGACGCTTAAAGCCCTTACTCAAATGTTGTGTTACACCAAGCGTATAGAAATGACTAAATCCAATTTCTTGACTCAATAAGAAGTCGGCAAAATTTGAGGGATGAAATTTGATATTTTTGTAATTCTCATAAATTTGTTCAGTCATCTTCTTCTTCTTTTTGTAGCTAGGCCAATTTTGCAACTAAATTTGGAATAGACATGGAATTAAATTAGATAATGAATTGCTTGCTTAGGAGTGACTGACAGACTATATGCTTTGAAAAGTAAAATAAGCATGATACTCACTTCTAGAATCAATTTCCCGCCAGGCCTCAATTGATTAAAGATCTTCCTAAATGTCAACTTTAATCCTTGATCGCCGCAATTAAGATGTATCCATTTGGTGACCGAAAGACATAGGATTAAATCGTATTTTTCGGCATCATGAAATACATTAACTTCATCTTTAGGCACGTAGTTCATCTATAAGGAAATAGTGAATGATTGTTTTAAATAAAAATCTTAATTAATGGAGCAACAAAAGTTCTTGAAGATTAAGAGGAATAATAAAATAGTCAAAACACGTACTTCTTCAAAAGATATATTATCAGGTATTCTTAAATTTTGTGCTTCATTTTGTGGTGTTTGCGGTGTTGACGGTAGTGTTTGTGGAGTTTGCATTTTCTTCTGAATTTGTTTAAAAGCCACACTTAAATTTCCATAACAAATAGGAAATGACATTGGAAAGCATTCGGTTTTATGACGATATTTTGCTGCTTCAGTCGATAAGTTGGTCTCTAACAATTGATTCGGCACTGCTACATATTTCTTTAGTTTGCTGCGTGCTATGCCAATTAGCTTCTTGTCAATGTCGATTCCAGTTATTGTTTTTGGTGAGAAATATTTAGCTATAGATAAAGTCATGAGACCACAATTACAGCCTACATCCAGGACATCCTTATTTTTAAACAAATGAATATTGCGTTGAAATATTTTTAAGCGCACATCCATGTTCTTATTCAAGCTTTCAAAGCCAAAATATCGATTATAATTTCCATACTGACAATGTGCTGTCTTTTGAAATGATGGCTTTTTTACTGCATTCTCATCTGGCTTCTTAGTTTTAGCTCCTTCCTCATCAAATGCATCATCGTCATCGACAACTGCTGGTTTTGTCTCTGTTAACAAAGTTGGATCAGCAGCTTTAGAATCATCAACGGAAGTACTAGATTTTCTCATTACCGGACTGATTCTGGATGTCTCTTTTTGAGCACTTTTATCAATAAGATCCCATGATGGGTCAGCTTGTTCATCATCTGATGATTCCTTCGATACGTTCGAGTCATAAGCATGTGCAAGATCTCTTTGCGATGGTGATGTTCCCATTTTTCCAGCAAATGCTACTTTCTTCCTTGGATAATGCTCTGATCCAGATTTATATCGTTTTCGTTGACGCTTCTTCCTCAAATTTCCCGACAATTGAAGTTCATACTCTGTTTTATCAACAGGACTAAGGAGATTTAATGGATCATTTATGTTTGGTGGTATTATCAGTTCCACTTTATTCTCATTTTCTTCCTCAACAGTCACTTCATCATTATCAGTTATTTCAGATTCATTCTACGAATGAAACAACAATGTTAAAGATATAATTTATGAGATTTAAACAATAATAATAAATTGATATTAAATGAATAGCACAAAAAAAGAAGAAGAGTTGTATGTCGTGTATTACCATTAAAATAAAAATAATAATTGTAATCTATGCATATAAATTGACAGCATTGTTTTAACTCGAATTATATTAAACATGCAAATTAAAAAGATATGTCTTAAAAAGTTAACGAATATGAAAAATTTCAATAATTGTTGTAAAATAAAAGAGAAAATAGACCTCACCTGAAGACTATTTAGATTCAATGGATCTGTATAGTTACCACCGAGTAGAAATTTCTGTCGATTACGACGAGCCCCTAAAAATACAATCAATTAATTGAATACACAAAGATCAGATGAATGAATTTGATGTAATTTACGCTTTTCAGGTAGGAAAAATTTTGAAACCCCAACTCCGGTACTGAACTGCCTCTTGTTATTATTCTTATTTTTTAATATCATTTTTGTTGTCGATTCTTTATGCCTTTTTAGTTTAATCTCTCTTTTATCCACTTCCATCATTGCTCTAATTTGATATTATTTCGACGTAGTGTACACTTATGAACTGCTTTATGCTAATCACTTTAGATTTATGCAAATATTGCCAATGAATTTAATTTTTTTCTCGAAAAATGTCTCATTATTTTAGTAGATATTTTGTGACTAACCAATGTATTATGATTTTTTTGTCAGCATTATTTCCGCTAGATGTCGCACATGTGCATTTGAATCAGTTTCTTCCGATATTGAAACTTTGAATTTCACCGTTAAAAAAGTTTTTGAAAATTTTCTCAATTTCACCATAAGATTTTCAAATATTTTTTAACCATTGACATTTTCACCACAATTTTTGATGCACATTTTTAAGCTTTTTCTTACAAATACTTTTAAGTATTATTATGCAGCAACCGTTGTTTAATTCATGTCATAAAATTAAAAAATCTCATAAAAAGTTGCAAATTGAAACAGAAAGTAAAGATGAGATGAAGTTTCACAGCTAAAATATTATTGGATCATTTCTAAAATGACAAGTTTCTACAGCAACAAAGTGTAAATTTTTTCAGTAAAACAAGCCAAACCGGAAGACTTTTTTTTGCAGGAACCGGTAAAATATTATGCATTTATTTTTTATGACACTTGAGGTTTTTCTAATATGCATAATAAATTTTTTGTGATAATTATTGAACCACGTGTTGTGGTGAGTTTGAATTGTCATCTGAAAATATATAACTGTGAATATAGATATTTATGTAAACTAAACGAATCTGATGTGAATAAGTGATGAAGACATTAACTTACTTCTGTGCATACTAAAGATGAGTTACAAATCACATCTATTTTTATGTTTATAGAAGAGTTGTTGGATTGGTGACTAGTTGCATGATGATTGCTTTTGCAAGCAGGGACCTAGAAGCAGGTAGGAAGAAGAAGTGTTGACAGAGAGGAGAGGGTAATTTTGATGACAAGTTGCATCATCTCTCTCTGGTACAATTATTAACATTTTTTGAACACCCCTCATCCCCCCCCCCATATGTTCAATATGTTACTTTAGAACAAAGTTCCAAACCATGAACCCCCCCCCCCCCTATTTTAAATAGGAAATTATTAAAGGACAACTCTGGAATATAAAGTAAAATAGAAAAATAGAATGGATTACGAACGCAATGTTGGTATGGATAGATATCAGTTAGGTGCATAAGTGTAATCAAAAATAACAGTGTTTAAAAATATATTTTTACCATCCGAGCGTGCAAAAAAATAAAATTATTGTTATGCTGTAAATACCTCATTGCTCTTCCTTTACATGCCGCTACTATCATTTCTCCCTGACTCTCAACAATATTTTTTTTCGTATTTCTTCTTTCATTTTCGTAATCACATCATGCGAGTTAACATCCACCGCACACCGCAATCCACATCGTCTGTTGTTGAGTATATTGCAAAGTTTCTTTTCAGTTATTTCCGTGCATTGAAGAAGTTCAGTTCGTAGTCTGAAATACTGCAAAAGAAAGACGAAAAAATATAAAAAAATAAAAACGCGACTAGTTTTATTTTTAAAAGACAGAAACAGTTATGTAAAAAAAAGACTCATTTAATGTCCACAGACTGACTGATATCAACCATAAACATTTAATTTATTTGTTTAGTTCAAAGTCAAGAGTGTCGCAAAAAGTTGCGACTTCATAAAAAGAAGTTGAGCGTAGCTGGAGCTTTGAGATTTTTTGAGATCAGATATGACTGACCCACTTCTCGAGGAAGCATAAAGCATTAACAGCAATAATTTATTAAAAAACTCTTTATTGACCATCAAATACTACTAAGTGTTGTGAAGCATAGTGAAAGCGAATACATGTGAAAGCAGCAGTATTAAATCCAAGAAGGAAATTCGCCTAACATAAAAAAGTGCATCAAGCTTGTTGTGATACTTAAATGTGTGCTTTTTTTTGTTGTGTGCAAACATTCAAAATTTATTCAATTACAAAACAATGCCTCAAAAAATTAATTAATTAATTAATCAAAGTTGTAATAAGTTTTTGTTGTTGTTTTTTGTTATACACATCTGAAATAATCGCACATATGAGTGAAAAAAATTAAGAAAAAAAATAAATAAAAAATACAGCAAGGCTATCAAAACGCAGAGAAATTTATGTAATGATGTCATCATTTTCAATATAAATAAATTAATAATAATTGTGAAAATAAAACATGTTTTACATGAAGAGTTCATTCATACTCGTGTTTGTTGTCTTTTACATTGAGTTAAGTATATTTGAAGGTAAGTCTTTGACAAAATAACTGACAAATCAAAAGTTTATGTCGCATGGTTAAACTTTTTTTTTTATTTTTGTGTAAATTGAGCGGGGACTCTTGATAAACTGTAAAGCTAGCGATTAGTATTTTTCTCCGTTTTATGGATGTGCAATGGCGCATTTTTGGGTGTTACTTTTGTTTTCGTGCAATGTTAAGCAATTTCATTTAAACTCACATTTTATATTTTAATTTTGTAAATGCTGTTCTAAAACCTCTCAACAACTAGTTCTGATTTGCATAATTTGTATGGTTCTGAATCACAGTTTTCTGATTTAACGGAATTTTTAAAATTCATTTTTGCCCAAAAAAATGTTTGAAAACTTCTCAATAGTTTAATCATTTGTATGGTTTTATTTTCAATTCAAATCTAACATCTTTTTCGAATTTAAAAATGTTTCAAAACCCTCCAACAGTTCAATCAAAATATTCATTTGTATGGTTTCAACAATCTCTTAATAAATCCCAAGAATTTGAAAGCTTAAATTACGAAAAATTCAAAGAATTTACAAGTTTCTCGAACATCCAACATTGCCTGCATAATAAAAATTTCCAAATAAATTAGAAAAAGCTTTACTGAATAAAAAATAAGTTATTCAATTTACCAAGAAAATAAAGTTGTTTGTTAGCCATAATGGGAACTTAATATTAAGTAACTGCTGCTCACGATATACATATCAAATGGACAAAATGAAATCTTTGATTGCAATAAAATAAGTTAAAGCAAGAACTTTGATGGGCTATAACGCATGCTTGTTGACACACGATCTTATTATCTTGTTCAGTGACTTCAAAGCACAGTCTTTGTTTATTTTTCTTTGTACTCTGATCAATTATTTCATCACTTAACGACTAACAGTGAACAAGACATTTAGAGAAATAAATCGTACCTTTATACTTCATTCCATCAAAAGCATGATCATTTATTTATAATACCTATGTGGCAAAATTGACTCATTGCTTGAATGACAATCATATCGTAATATCAAGACAAATATGAAAAGATCCTTGAATTTAGGCATGAGTACGTTTGTAGATTAACACCCGACGACGTCGAAACAATTGTAAATGGAATGTACACGAACTCGTCGTTATGAAGTTGATATGAGATGCATATACAAAATATATTTAAATTGGCACCATTTCAGAAATATTAACATATGCAATATCTAGTCAAAAGAGTCAATATGATGAAGACCAACAGATGATAAAAGCTGTTCAAGATTCCATCGTAGAATGGAAGTTAAAAAAAGCGAAGCACAGGTAGGTCACGAGTATAATTAAGCACTATTTTTTATTACAATCTCATTCTCAATGCCGATTATTTAAATTGTTAAGAATTCTTGTGACTATTATTATTAATGTTTATTCATATTCTCCGTCTTTAAATTGCACAATTAGACACAAGCGGCAAGCGAATGTCGTTTGCTATGGCGAGCTTGGATGTTTTGAAGATTCTGGACCGTATGGATACATAGACATGCTGCCAAGTTCACCTGAAGAAATTGATACCAAATTTTACGTTTACTCGACTAAGAATAGGTGAGGAACTGCTGAAGTTGGAAGTTGACTATCATTTGGGTTTTGGATTGAATTCTTAGAGTTGTTTCAGTTCAGTACGGTCTACTAAGCTGTGAATCCCACCAACGCTTTTAAAATTTGGAGCTAGTTTCCTCGTGCAACTCTAGAAACAGACCTTTGACTTTATTTGTAACTGAACTTTCTCCAGAACTATGATTATTACTTCTCTGCACTATTTTTTGGGATTATTCATGTCATTGCTCATTAGGATTGCCTTACAACTAAAGATCCCTTGATTCTATGCTATTAAAGCAATAGACTTCATTTAACACGTGGACAATCCACAAAAATATTAAAAATTAATCCATTTTCGAAATGATTACTAAATCATCTGTTTACAGCTCTTATCCCTGCATTCCTGACATGTCAAATTAATCCAAGGATTAAAAATATTTTTACTATTGACTTAGCAATTCTGATTATCATAATTAATTAACCTTCCGTCACTGACTTATTTCGATTGCAGATCAGAAAATCCATTTTTACAATTCTCATTCCATGATATTTCTCCATATTCATTATTAAACGAGACCTTAACAACAACCACAACGCAAAATCCATTAACAAATAATCGAATTGATCGTCAAGATCGCAATGTGAGAGCGTCAAGCAGTAATAATAAAAGTACATTTGATCCAGTGAAGGTTTACAAAAAATTCGGTGATATGAACAACGCGTCAATGAGAATAATAGTTCACGGCTTTGGATCAAATTGTCGTCACGAGTGGATAGATGAAATGAGAGCGGCATTAATGGCAGTAGAAGAATGTTTTGTAATGTGTGTTGAATGGGAGAAAGGAGCGTTATTACCAAAGTAAGTGTTACAATAATTAATTCACTTTGTTGATCAGGTTTTCAATTATTTTCTCGTCTCGTTATTAGCTACGTCAAAGCAGCTGCAAATACAAGGCTAGTGGGCAAGCAACTTGCATTTTTATTGAAAGGTCTAGAAAAAAATAACGGGTTGAACTATACGCGAGTGCACATCATTGGATTTTCTCTCGGTAAATTCTTGGTTCTCTTGATGCATATTAACCATTTTTTTTCGAAAGCTCTGACCTACTATTGGATCCGTTTGTCAATCATATCCATAGAATCAAAATTGAGATTTAAACGGAAATTTTAAATTTGAATTATTCTCAAAACATTTGTATGGTTTTGAAAAATTCAAATTTCAATTGACTGTTAAATTTATTAATGATACTTTTATAGGAGCGCATGCATCGGGATTCGCCGGAGCGGAACTAAAAAGAATACAGCGAATAACTGGCCTAGATCCTGCAGGTTATAAACATTATTAATGAATAAAAAAATCAATTTTTTATTTTAAAAAGTCTTACAGGCCCACTTTTCGAGGGATCCCACATAGCAGCGAGGCTAGATGAAAGCGATGCAGAATTCGTTGATGTTATTCATTCGAACGGAGAAAATTTAATTTTGGGTGGTCTTGGAAGTTGGCAACCAATGGTAATGACTCATTATTAAGCCATAGCACTCAAGCATTTAAAGTTATGCTTATAATTCACAGGGTCATGTAGATTTCTATCCAAATGGCGGTAAAATACAGCATGGATGCTCAAATTTATTCTTAGGTGCAGTAACCGACATCATATGGACATCATCAAAAGAAAATGAAGGCAGATCACTTTGCAATCATCGTCGAGCCTACAAATTCTTTATTGATTCTGTTGCACCGCGTTGCCTTTTTCCAGCATTTCCATGTGAAAGTTATGAAAGTTATTTGAAAGGGAATTGCTTCCATTGTCCGAATAGAAAAGCAAAATCTATTAAAAGTTCAGCATCAAGCGAAATGTGAGTATCACGATTCGTACATGAAAATAAAAATAAGAAAAACCTGCCTCAAGACTGCTGGCTGTTGAGGTTGTTGCATTTTCTTATTATCGCAATTAGTCGGTTAATGAAGACAGTTGATCTCATACTCAGATAATGGTGGTAAAATGCCGCGAAATTTCTCATGACACCGTAAACAATTTCTTTTGTTAAGCTCAGGAAAGCTCAGATTGTTTTTATCACAATACGTTGCATAACGGGAACTAGGGAGGGCTTTCTTGTTTTGTATGAGCAAGTATGAGTTTCCTTGACTAGGTGTAGGGTTAATATTTATAAAAAAAACCAGCTCTTGAGACTTAGTCAAGACAGGAAACCTCTACCTGAAATTTCACTTAATTTCTTAAAACGCACCTGACAAGAATAAGTTTGAACTAAAGATGATGGAAGGTTAATTGATAGCAAAAGATGTTAACAACCATAACAGCACATTAGGAACGGTTTTGAAGTTTTTGCAGAGAATGAATCGTAAACTTCGCAGATTCCTAACGATTTTTAAAATGTTTAACGATATGACTCCAATTAGATATGCACTAATAGTCTGTCTGTACTGTAAACGACTTTGAATATTTCCAAGATATGCAAAACTGAACAATGTTAACTCTCATTTTTCATCTCATCATGTAAAATCTCGATAAAACCGAACTTAATTAAACAGTGCAATCACTAGCTGATTTGGAAATTTTTTCGAGAGAGTTTACTTTACAAGTTCACTGACTAGTCAATGATTGGGTTTTTTTTAATAGGAGGCTACATGATGTGAAGACAATGACCAAAAAGAAATCATTAAAATTATGTTTAAAATTTATGTAAATTGGGTTTCACTTTAATTAAAATAAATACGACGATTGTTTAATTAAAATAATCAATTTTTAACACTTTTGTGTATATCTGGGGCATTTTGACTGGGTTAGTGGTTGATACTTTTTTGCACGTGTTGTTAATTTAATTAAGATTAGTTGAGTCGTTAAAAATATTTTCAAACAGAAAATTTTCTGAAAGAATTTTGACAAAAAAAATGAATTTTTGAAAACCGTTGAGAATTTGAATTTTTTAAAACCGTTGATAATTTAAATTTTTAAGAACCTTTGAGAATTTGAATTTTTAAAGCTGTTGAAATTCATATTTTTCAACAAAAATTCTAATAAGGCTTTAAAATCAATAATCAGACAATGTAAAAAGCGGCAGTCTTCAAAAAGTTGCAATATCCATTGACTCAATCTCATCTTCTTTTTACACAGAAAAATACATGATCGTGTCGACTCAATATGCGGTGCAATGGGCTATTATGCTGATAAATCAACAGGTAGAGGCCAATTATATTTACGAACAAGAGAAGAAGAACCGTTTTGCGCTCACCAGTATAAAATTAAGCTGCACAACTCAATCACAGATTTGCCAATTCGAACAATAGGTCGCATTGATATTGAACTTGAGAGTGAAGGTGGACTGTCTGAAACTTTTACTATCACTGAGTAAGTATTAAGTATGAAAAAAGAAATTGAATAGGTGTAAAATGTTGATTTCTCACTCACGCTCTTTTTATTTTTCTTCTTCTTCTTTACATAATGACTGGACATTAAATCAACAAAACAACATAGCCGCGATGACCAAGAGATATTTGCCGGTGATTTCATTTCCAAAATTATTGTTCCACATCCAGCACTTAATTTCCCAAAGAATCTCACAATTACGTATCATGTTTATCGTGGATGGCTGACACGTGGCCTATCATCATGGAGTGTCAATAAAGTAATTTTAAGTGATAGTTTCGGTGAAAGCTTTTCATTATGTAAAAATATTGAGCTGGAATCGGGTATTCCCGTCCGTTTGACATTACAAGAAGGTGATTGCTATGAAGAAGAATTACTTCTTGCAGCTATAATGACTGAGCCTTCAACGACTACCGATTCAATTGAATTATCTCCTTCAGAAACAGCAGAAGCATTAAATGGGGAAAATCTAGCGATGGTCAATAAAACTGGCGAAGTCATTGAATTGGGAAAGCACATGATTATTAAAAAAAATGAATCTGCAACATCAATAATTGCAACGAGTTCAGAAAAATCAATTTCAGTCATGTCTGCTGACTCATGGAAGCCAATTAAAATTAATAGTCTTAATGACTCATTAGCTACATCCAATAGCACAAATTCTATTGATGAAGACAAGTTCCTTAATATTGGAGAGAAAATGCCAAAAGCTAAAACTGAAAAGCGATCATTTGGTCAATCAGGTGATGATTCAGACCAACCAATTCGAGATGATTCAACAGCTGTAGAGGAACCAAATGATATTAATGCTGTAGAAATGAATGAAACTGACAGCAACGATGAAAATATTAAGGAATTGATTGATACAGAAAATGATACATCCGATAAATTTGTTACAGTTCAATTGTTCCCGTACCGTCTAGGTGATATTTTCGAGCGTGCCGAGAAATACGCAAAATATACATTATTTCCTTTGTTAAGTGAACAAATCTCAAACATTTTCAGTTTCGATGGTAAAAATGAAAAGGCAAATAATAATAATAATGCATCGCCGCAGATGAAAACGATGAGAAAGTTTGACGTTGAAGATGATGAGAGTGCATTGAGTATGGAAAAAGTACAAACACTACAGAAAATGTCCATAAAAAGCGATAGTATAAGACCGCCAATTGAAAAGTTACTCAACACCAATTACGATTTGAAAGAAGACGATGAAATGGAAAGTGTTAGAATTAACTTACCTACCTATAAACCACCACGAGATAGTGACAAAATATTCATTCCGATTGATAGAGGGAGTGTATAGTGATTCATAGTGACTTAATAAAGAAATTTTTAATTTTTGTACATTTCTTGACTTCTTATTGCTTACTTCCTTACTCTCTTTGGGTTTTTCTGTTTAACAAGTGTTATTATTATGCTAAGCTTAACCGACTTTCTGTATTTCTCTGCTTTGTCTTCATTTGAAACAGTTTCATTGGGGTACGAAAGTTGAAAACGTGACTTGCAGCTAGAGATCGCTGTTTTTGAATTATTAATGATTTTCAATTCAACTTAGAAAAATAGTGAATTAATTGCTTTTGTTCAGATTTGATATTGAAATCCGTTAAAATTATTCAAATTGACTTCATTTCATTTCAGTTCATTTGAATTCTAAAAATCCATTGAATTTGCTTCGTTTCATTTCAGTTCATTTGAATACAAAATTCCGTTGAAATTTGCTTCATTTCATTTCAGTTCATTTGAACTCAAAAAATCTGTTAAAATTTTAAAAATATTAAAAAGTTATTAGCATACAAAAACAGAGCCAATTTAATTTCTTTATTTTCTAACCAATTGATGCGATAAAAAGATAAAAAATTTAAGAAAGTACTTTTTTCATCAATCAGTAGATCTCTTAAAAACAGACATTTAAAATAGTTTCTTTTCTTTTTATATATCTCAATTAATAACTCCAGTATTCATACGATTCATGCCTTCGTTAATAGTTTTCAAATCTTTCATGTCTTTGTTGACAGTTTCAATTAGCAATTCCATCGCTTTTTGCTGCATTGAAAGGAAGTTTTTCATCTCGTCCGATGAATCTTTGTCTAGAGTGTATTCACTGGTTCCACAAGCAGCCCATTGACTTCTTTGCATTCTCATCTGTGCTAATAATTCATTAAGTTTTCCCTTGAATTGTGTCGGGGCTGAGACTAATGCATGCATATTTTCCAACTTTGTTTTAATAAGCTCCTCATCTGGTGTCAATGCCAAACCAGCTTTTCTTGTTGACTCTTGTTTTACAATAATTCTCAATATACGATGGCTCAATTCGGCAAGCTTTCGTCTTTGCTCAGTTATTTTTGACGTTGTATTTGTGTGCCTTAATTTTAATTCACTTATATCTTTTTCCAGCTTTGATAAATAATTCATGTGATTTGACGTCTCATTCTCTTGACATGCTAAACGTCCTTTAAGATCATTAAATCCAACTAATGGCACTGGAATAAATTTTTTTGAATCAGGATTATCACTGATCGCTTGTCGCCACATTCGTGCATCAACACCTTTTGGTGGTGAATCCATATATTGTTTTAATTGATCATCATCTGGTGGAATTATTGGATATACTTCCTCAATACCCAATGGTGTGATTTGAAATTTTAAATGTGATTGATTAAGGAAAGCACTAGTCTCAGTTGCTGGAATTCTCTTCGTTTCCGTCGAATTCTGTTGCTTCTCTTCAATATAAATAACAACTTGTGTTGCTGTATCCGACAATGACTTCATTGAATCAATATGAATCATTAAATTTGGTTTACTTCCAAAAATCTGACTTAATTTTGGTATCAACTGTAATTCTTGATCCTTTAATTGTGAAAGTGGCTTATTAAATTTAATAGCCACAAATCCAAGTTTATTATCTTTACCTGGAACTTTACTATAGCTCATTGACTTGAATCTACATAAATAATTTTGTGGTGAAATATCAACAGGTGGCTGTGATTGAGAATACATCGCTTTTCCTGTCCCAAATAGAGCTTGAAGATAATTCCAACGTGCGAGAACTGTATCTCGTTCATCACCATAAATTGAGACATTAAAAATGGCTTGAGAAAATACTTCATCCGGTGATAAAGCTTGCTGTTGTTGTTGCTGCTGCAATTGTTGTTGTTGTTGACCAAATCCTATATTGATTAAGGAAGAAAATAAAGTTGGATTTTAAAAATTAACGGTTGTGAAAAATTTGTAAAATAACTGTCATAAGCTTACCAGAAAATGCATTAGGTTGTCCAAAACTCGATGTCGTCGTCCCAAAGCCACTAAATGCAGGCGTAGCACTTCCAAATAAAGACGGAGCTTGAGTAGTTTGCGTATTTTGCCCGAAATTAAAAGATGGAGCCTGTGTAGTTGTTGTCTGTCCAAAATTAAATGACGGTGCTTGTGTGGCTTGGACCGTACCACCGAAGCCTCCAAATGACGGTGCAGCTGCTTGTTGTGGCTGAGTTTGCCCAAACGAAAAGGAGCTTGTGCTGTAATGAATTATATTGTCACCAATAGCTCATAAATCAATAAAAATGCAACATACCTAGTCTGTCCGAATGCTGGCAAACTTGTTTGTGGTGCTTGTTGGGGCTGAGCCTGTCCAAACGAAAAGGAGCTTGTGCTGTAATGAATTATATTGTCAACAATAGGTAATAAATCAATTAAAATGCAACATACCTAGTCTGTCCGAATGCTGGCAAACTTGTTTGTGGTGTACCGAATGTGCTTGTATTGGAACCAAAAGCAGGTGGTGCGGATGTAACTGTGGCTGCTTGAGTTCCGAATGAAAATCCAAAAGCGGCTAGAATTATTGTGCATTTAACTCGTTAGAAAATCAATTAACAAAAGGAAAAGTATGTATTTAGCATGTGTGTTTTCCATAAGGAACTAGCCACAATGATGAACAGTATATTGAACTAATTGGATTTCCATTTTTTTCCATAATTGATTTCTTTCGCAGTTTGAATTAGCGTGAGAAACAAAAAAGTGTTGTTTACTGTTGTATCTAGATCCAATTTTCGTTTAGTGATATGAAGTGATTCAAGTAAGAGTTAGAGAACAGATTTATAAGCCTTGATATCTAGTGCTGTATATCAGTCATATTGCCAGTTATTAATCTTTAATTATTTCTATTATGATAATTAAAGCAGCTCCAAGTCATCGATTTATTGCATACAAATAAGCAAAGAAGCTTTTGTGTACCTTTATAGAAGAAGTTCCGCTGGTGATCAATTCTGAGAATAGTCAGGAATCTGATCGATCGGAATTTGAAGGGATTATGTCTGTTGACAAAATTAGGCACTTTTACATTACCGTCTCAGTTACATTAACGTCTGTTTTACTATTATTGATTATTTATGGATGTTGCATTTATAGAAAGTAAGGCACAAGCGTTTGCTAATGAAATTAGTGACTAATAGAGCATTTTTGTATTTCACAGGAGAAGGCTTGAAGATTTAAACAAAAGAAATGAAGTTCTAGCAAGAAGGAGATCTAGAGGATTGGGTGATGGACAGACTAATTCTACTGAGAGGCATTTACATCAAAAATTAATTAATTAACTGGATGATATTTTAACCTAACATCATTTATTTCCCGGAAAAATATTATTTCTCTTATTTACTCACGTTTGGCTGGTGTACTCGTACTTCCTAGTGCCGGTGCGCTTGTATTACCAAAATTGAACGACATTTTAAAGGTCCTATGCTTCTATTAACACTATAATTCTTTAAATTCTGTAAATTTCAAAATCAAAACAAACAAAAAATGTTTTGCAAATTGAGGAACGCATTTTGAATTTCTTAAAACCGTTAATGATGATTTTAAATAAATGAATATCTACTGGATGTTTTACATACATTCACCATAATTTAAGCTGCAAATTGATCAATCCCTGTAAAAAATGTCAAAAATGATTGAAAAAAGCTTTATTAATTATAGTAATCATTTATTTTATTGATTTACTTGTTAAAAATGAAATTCCACAAAATTATAGCTTAATTAAAATAAATTGAGATGATTGTATAAACTCCTTTATCGCATACTTGTGTCTCTTGATCGATAAGTGATGCCTCTGGATTTCATATCTCGCGTAATTGAATTTGGAAGACGTCCAGAAACCGAAATAGCATAAACTCCCTTACAAAAACGATCTGTAAATATTTGGATTTATTAATATTGTATAAATCTTTAACTGGATCTTTCGAACTTACTTATTCTCTGCCATTTACAGACCCAAGAATCTTCAGGACTCATCACAGCAATCATACCATCAAAATTGTTACTAGTACAGTCAATTACTCGATCTTTGTTCTTTTTCATCTTGAGAAATGATTCACAATTGTCACATCCATCATACTCAAATTGCTCCATCGTCTATAGAATATATGTAAGTAATACATTTTTCTCTATTTAATCATATTCTGATACTTACTTTGATCAGTGAGCATACTAGACATGCACGCAATCCTCTTAAATCTTTTGGGATAGTATCGAAAGACATCTTTTCAGCTTAAATATCAGTCAATTAATGTTTTTTTTTGGAATTTCAATAAGTTGTTGACAAAATTTGAACTGGAATGAATTGAACTTTTCAAAACTTACTGAACAGATTTAAACTCAAATGGGTTAAATTACTCAAATTTACTGAACAGAACCAAAAAAATTTGTTCAAAAATAAAAGTGAAAATTGAAAATTTAATAATTTTAACTAAAATCATTGCATAAAATCAAAAGAGAGTATGGACAACAGTAAAGAAAAACCTGAAGTAAATAGAGACGGTGAATCCAGTGAGGAAAATTCTCATGATAGTCCAGAAAACTCGCAAAATAGTCATGCATCGTCAAAAAAGTCTGAAGGAAGTCATAATCTTAATAATATTTCAATAGATGACATAGATGAGGATATTAAGGAACGAATTAAAGGAGATAGGATTGGAGATACACTTTATTCTGAGCGATTTATATTAAATACATTAATGGAATTAAAGGAACTGAATGATGGAAAGCTTGAGACAGAATTAGAAAATAAGCTTGAAATTTTATGGGACACAACAATAGAAAAAGATGTCGTAGAACTGCTGTTAAATTATGGATTATTAGACATTGCTGGAGTTATTATTGAAAGCACCGAAGATGATAGATTAATTGAGATTTTATTAGGAATTATTGCCAATATGGCTTGTCACAAAGAGACTAGAGAACAGCTATGCAATTCAACTGATGTTATGGGAGTCATACTGAATCAATTGACAAGCAATGATCCTTTAGTCCTACACCAACTTATGAGACTATTACATTCTGCTATACTATTTGAGAATTCTGGAGACGAGACTGTCTGGTTTAATAATCATTTTAAAAAATGCGAAGATTTTGTAGAAAAATTCAGCTTCATCCTTGCTAATTCTACATCCAATACTCTATTAATGAGCTCTTTTGAGGCACTGAATAGCGTTTGTGCTAAATTCGCAATGATTGAATGCCAAACAGACTCTGAGAAGGATGCAAGCTTTCCACAATTATTCGTTAAGAAATGTTTAGTTGAAGCTATGATTGAGGCATTTAAACAAGTGATTGGAATGACTGTAGGGTCTGATTCAACGGACATGATTCCAACTCAGAATCAACAGAAATTTATGAATTTATTCCTGGAACTGAACATGATTATATCACAGTATGAATCTTTATCAATGGACGCATATAGTGACTACCTGCCTGAATTTCAGAATTGTCTAGGACGTATATTGATACCATTAACTCACAAAATGTACCTCTTACCATTTAACTCAAATAATCAAGGCATCCTTGAGAATATTAATGACATAACTCAAGCATTACAGGATCCATTTGACGAAAAGATCTTTTCACAAATGGTCATAATCTGGGATTTAATTGATTGGGAAGATAAAGATGATTCAACAGTTATTGACATAGACGATTTAAGTATGACAATTTTGGAGTTTCTAACACGAACTGGATTCAACAGCAATCAAGAACAATTTACAGCATCATTAAAAAACCTAAAGCTAGACTTGACTATGAAGCTATTCGAGCGGGTAAATGACAATGAAGATCCAGAGGATGAAATTAAATCAGTCATTGAAAAAATGAAGTACAGCATTAAAGAAATTTGGGAAGTGGATTTGAACAAGCAGTAACGTAAAGATTAAAGATATGTAACAATTTACCACAATTAATTAATTATAAGATGATGAAATATTAATTAAAGTGACTTATTATTCTTAATTGCGTGTCTTTTTCAAACGATCAAAAATAATTCAAATTTTTCAACGGATGCAATGGTTGGTTCACGTCCCACATTTTCTCACGGATCTGCTTCCTTTCCAAAAAAATTCTTGAATCGAGAATTTTAAAAAGTAAGTGAAATTAAAAATTAATGTGGAAATCCTTTGATTAATGCTCTAAATTTAATAAGTTATCATTTATAAGAGTAATATCTACGTTAATTAATTAAATTCAGGCCTAAAGTTGCCATATTTTGTGAGATATATGTGAAATTAACTTTTGTGCGAGTGCATGTTTTGATTTCTCAAAAAACCTGCTGAATTGTCATATTTATGAAGGTTAATTAGATAAATACAAACATGTCTCGTGATTCAATGATCCAGTGACTGCTGTGTATTAATTAAAGCACTAATTTGTCCACAAAATTGATATTAAGTTTTGCAAAATGTACACACATTTTTTAGGTTAAGGTTGTTTTCATATTAAATACTTTAGAGCATAAATCAAGCCTATTTACATGAACAAACATTAATTGTATATTGATTTATTTTAGATAATCAGGATGGTAAATCACCGTATACCATCGGTTTTCTCAAAAACCTATGTTACGCCTAGACGTCCTTATGAAAAGCCTCGTCTTGATGCTGAATTGAAGATTATTGGACAATTCGGTCTTAGAAACAAGCGTGAAGTATGGAGAGTTAAGTACACATTAGCTAAAATCCGTAAAGCCGCTCGTGAACTTCTCACATTAGAAGAAAAGGATGAGAAGAGATTGTTCCAAGGTAAATTAATATTAATTATACAGTACAAACATCCAGCATATAACAAATAACTTGTTTAATCTTCCAGGTAATGCACTTCTTCGTCGTCTTGTACGTATTGGAGTTTTGGATGAATCCAGAATGAAGCTCGATTACGTTTTGGGTTTGAAAATTGAAGATTTCTTGGAACGTCGCTTACAGACACAAGTCTTCAAGTTAGGTCTTGCTAAGAGCTACCATCACGCTAGAGTTTTGATCCGTCAACGACACATCCGGTGAGTTTAACACTTTTTGTTATCAATATAAAGCCTATAATGATGAAAAACCATTTTTACCTATCTGACACTTCTTGTCTGAATATTACTAATCTATGTAGACGTCCAAAAGGATTCTGATTCCAATAATTCTATTAATTCTTAAGCTATATTTAAGTACAGTCACTAATTGAGCATTGTTATTTGCAGTGTTCGTAAGCAAGTCGTCAATATCCCATCATTCGTTGTGCGCTTAGACTCGCAAAAACACATTGATTTCTCATTGAAGTCACCGTTTGGAGGTGGACGTCCAGGTCGTGTAAAGCGAAAGAACATGAAAAAGGGTCAAGGTGGAGCCGCTGGAGCTGATGAAGAAGATGAAGATTAAGCTACTGGAATGTTGAGCATCGCTAAAATCCAACAACAACAAATTTTTTTAAAATGATTAACTTTTCCAACTTTATGTGTGAAACTGAAATCATGCTGAAAAAAAGAAAAACATTCAATAAGTAATAAAAGGGATAAATGATTAAAATCTGGAACTGTTTACTTATATAGAATATGATTTATCTTTTATTTAATTATTAATTAGCTCTCGTTTTAAAGCTCGATCATGCATTTTCGTATAAGTATCTTGACTTCGTCCCCAGAATTGTGTTATTGCCTTTGTAACATCATCCATGGTGTAAATATTGGGCTGACTTTTATTAAAGCATTCATAGACATAGAATGTGAGTGTTTTTGAGTCTACTTTCTTCTTTTTTGACCCTCGACTTCCAAAGCCTGATACTGAATATTTGATGCATACAGACAGGTCGAAATGCATTCTCAAAAAGTCTTTAACTGAAACATTGAAGCTTCTCGTGCCTACATTTCTTGTTAATGTCCATCTTTTATTGACCAAAATGCTTCTATATTCTTCATCTTTTAATTTCAGCATAAACCAATCAAACGTTCCTTCATCAGCAATTGGAAATATTAAGCTACTAAATTCATCAATTTGTCCATGTCCTTGTTCCAACTCGTCATTTTCCTCTAGCTCATAATTTACATATTCCTCTATTATATCTCCGCTTATATCTGGTTTCTCGTCACTATCGGAATCGACATTACTTCCATTTAATGCCAACAGTTGATTCAATTTACGTTCTATCCTGTCCATTTTTAGTAGAATTTTCCGCTCTGATATTTTCACTTGCTCTCGAATGTATCTTTTGATGTCACTTGTGCTGCTTTCATCTATCATACACTCTTCGACAAGCGGATCAGTAAATGTCTTTTCTAATTTTATCTTTTTTGGTAACGATTCATCTATTTCTGACATACTGGATCTTTTAATTTTCTGGATCTGATCTTGAAATATAATTAAGTCACTTGTCTGTTTGTTAATTATAGCGTTTTTTTCTGAAGTCATCACTTGCACTATGTTATACTTGATTCTATCGAGCTATTCCCGATATTTATAGACAATTCTGATACTTAATAACGATATAAAATTATATTTAAAAACTTGACAAAATTTTGTATACATGCAAGAGTATGCTCTTTACTGTCTGTTTATGTATTGGTGAGGAGATTCAAAACTTTAAAAAAGTGTGTGCTCATTGTTTAACGGACTTCTTCTTTGTAGACCACGTGCTCAATATGAATCATAATACATGTGATGAAGTTTGTTAAAATTTGTCTAATTTAACGATTATTTTTCAAAAAGTTTGTTCATTAATCCAAGTTCGTTTCATTTCAGTTCAATGATTCAAATCTCAAATGTCTGTTAAATTTTTGAAAACCAAGTTCATTTCATTTCAGTTCAATGATTCAAATCTCAAATGTCTGTTAAATTTTTGAAAACTAAGTTCATTTCATTTCAGTTCAATGATTCAAATCTCAAATGTCTGTTAAAATTTTTGAATTCTTGAAAACCGTGATCTGAAAAATGCAGTTTAGCTATTAAATAAGGTATGAAATTAATAGACATCAAATAACTTAAAATAACAACTTTATTCTTTCCTTCTCTGTTCATTCAAAAAAATTTATGATTTTAATAAGATTTCTAAATTATAATCTTTTCTATTGTGTGTATATTGTACCATAAATTTTTCTCTTTATTCATTTATTTTTTTTTTTCTTGTGCAAGACGTCTCGATAAAAAAGAACGTTCTTTTAACAAACAACCAACTTAAGACTTTCATTCTTCTCATATTTCCATTGGGGATTCACTGTATATTATTAATTTAATACTAAGCAAAAAAAAGTAAAAAAAGACTTAAATGATACAAAAAATTGTTAAATACAAAAAAATACAATTAGGAAAAAGCATTTTAAAATCTTTTCTACCTTAAAAGAAAGACTCAACTTTTCTTTTCAATCAATTTAAATATGTTCATTTGTGCGTTATGTTTTTTGTCACTTAAATAATTGCACTTAAAATTGTGACTTTCTAATTTTTATATTTTTTTTCATCCTATTAAATTAGTAAATTTAAGTTTAATATAAGTCATAAGAAATGTTGCATGAATTGTTTTCATTTTTAAATGTTTTTTGATGAAATTTTTCACTTAGGCACAATAGAATTGTTTCTCCATCGAAAATAATAATTATTATTATCTTAAAAAAATGTTTTTCTAAGCGTTAATTCAAATCAACTTTTTGGGAGTAAGATTAGTGATTGATCGGGACACAGGCATGAGTGCATTTTAAATTTTTTGTGCATTATATAGCTTCTAAGTTGACTTACGTGAGCCATACGTAATGCGAGTTTTACGTAATTTTGTAAGCATAACTTTTGAATTTCAAATTGCCGTTACATTTTTACTAGCAGTTAATTTTCAATTTTTTTACAGACGTTAAAATTTGAATATGTTTTTGTCTTTAAATTTTTGATTTTTTTACAGTCATTAACTTTCGATTTTTGTTGTTGCCGTTATTTCTTGACTCAATTTGAAATAAAACTATCCGTTAAGTTTCGCAATCTAATGGTAAGACTTATTTGTTCATAATTTTTTACTAAAATACACTCACAGATGTCCCGATGTTTAAATAAAAAATATGAATAAAAGAAAAAGAAGTGATGAGACATGACGACATTCATTTATTACGACAAAAACTATCTAATCGACTCTTGTATTTAACTTTGTTTTAGTAAATCTCATCATTAAAACAATAAACTTTATAATGTATCATAAATTCGTTGCGTTATTAAATTTTGATAAGATGTATAGGATATAGAAAACGAAACTGACCTTAATTAAACCGTAATAAACTTTTATACAATATTTCTCATTATTTTTTTTTATCAATTATTATGATTTTAAGTCCGTTTTTATATCGAGAGATGACATCACAGATATCATAAAATAAATTAAGTAATGATCCCGCAAGTCATCTCTGGAAGTCCCTTCTCCGAAAAACATCAACGATTATCACAAAAAAAAAGAAAAAACTTTAATTATCTTCCGACACAACAAAAAAGGACGTTAACAGTACGAGATATAATTTGTGATTTATAAAAAAAGTTCTTTAGGCACCACTATTGTGTAGCTGCATGTAATGAGGTTTTTATAGACGTTTTGGGAGTTTTTATCTTTTCGAGAGCTGAGAGGCTGTGCAGATGTTAAGGATGAATTGTTTTGATGACGAAAGTGATGAGAGAGACTGTTCAGACTTGTTAGAAAAAAAAGTAGTCATGAAACGGTTTCTACACTTCATCTGGTGCCAAATTTGTTCGAACAGGCGTTGATGTTGAGTCCGGTGCCTGAGCTTTTTGCTCCGTTATGTTATTCTCCTCATCACGACTTTTAGCTTGCGCTTCAAGAGCTCTAATACGATTTTCGTGCTTTACAATTACGGCTTTTAATTTGCGTATCTCATCGTGAAGCGCCTTTAAGTCGGCTTGCTATAAATTTTTAAGTACATAATAAATTAGAATCATTAAAATATTTTTAAAATTTATAGCTACAAACCGTTACTGGAGGAACTGCTGGTTCCGGTGGGGGTATGGGTGATGGCTCTCGTTCCTGATATTTACTTGTAGTATGCGTTCCACTATCATTACTATCCGTTGTATTGTTATTGCTTTGATCATGATTATTGTTACTATGCTGCAATTTTTTTGCTGCTGAATTGAGGATGTTTGGCTTTCCTTTATCAAGTACATTTGACTTCTTTGTTACATTAAGTTGTTGTCCATGGGAACTCGATACGTAGCCACCCTGCACAATTAAAACACGATCCTAAACATTTAGTTTTCCACACATTTTTTTTTGACAATTTTTGGAAATTTTTTCATAGATTTTTTTAAGCCAATTTATTTATTTTTGAAAAGGATTAAGAGGGTTATAGAGTGGTGAGTTAAAAAAAAATATAAAAAGAAAAAAATAAAAAAAAAGAAGAAAAAAAAATTAAATTGCATGATTAGCTTAGAACATGTGTACACATAATAAGTAATGCAGCTTTAATACAAAAGCAAAGGCTTTGATTCATCAGTTTCAAAATCACTCATATGGAAAGTTGCACTACATTCAGCTTTTATGATATGAATCAATCACGGATGCAATACGTCTGTCGACATGTCAATGAACTTTTACTTTGTTGACTTAACGTTTTACTTTAAAAGTGAATTATAAAGTCTTTGTTATTTAACGGTTTTCAAAAATTCAAATCTTAACGGTTTTGAAGTATTCAAACTTTTGTTGATTTTTGGAAATTCAGAAAATCATAATTTTCAAATGTATAGAAACCGTTAAAATTTTAAAGAAAGAAGTAATATCACAAAACTAATGCTAAATCACATCCATATCAAAATGAATCAATTAAATGAGAAATAACAAGTAATTAACATCGTGGATAGCAGAATTGACCAACCCATGAATGAAAGAAGAACAACAACAGCACACTGATGAAATAACACAGAAGATTAATGTTGAAAAATTATCAATGGAAATGATTTGGACAGTTTTAGTTGATAAAAAGCACATACAAGCTCCGATTATGTATGTATAGTAATGTATTTAATGGAATGAAATCAATCGGTTCCTTTTGTCATAAGTTAAGGAATGATAATAATGATAGTTGGGTGTACACATATTAGCTTAAGCCACACACAATTCAATAACGAAAAAAGTAGAAATGTGAGAAAGAACTATAATAAAAGGGCAAACAAATTGGTGATAATGGAAATGATAACATAATAATTATTAGAAGATATGATTGTTAATGAAAAATGATGTGAGGGGTTTTAATTATAATTATTATCAAATTTACCTTCAACGATACGAGAGATGGTTCCGCATCAGCACCGGCAAACCAATCTTCAGCAGAGATAGCTGCTTCATCAGACAAAGTATCAGGATAGAGATCTTCTTGAAACAGTTCAGATTTTCTAGGAACAGTCATTGTTATGACTTGACATAACCCACTATTGTTGAGTCGATAAAATCTCGCAATTTCACATATGCTGACATCGCATCCTCGTTTAGGCATTAATCCTTAAAAAATAACCCAGAATCACATTAGTCATTTCTTAAAAATCACAAAATCTTAAATACTCACCAATTCCTCTTTGAGGATCGGGTGTTTGGAAGGTATTAATATAATGTACAAATGGAGGTTCAGGTGTAACTTCAAAATAGCGAATCACAGAATCGCCTTTGCCACACAAATAGACTAAATTAGTATCGGGATCATAAAGTGGGAACATAACGCCATTGGATGTATCTAAATCGACCATAACAATTGGTTCTGATAAGGCATCGGGTGCACGAAGACTGTATTGACGTTCTGATGAACGATTAAATCTAAAATAAGATATGGATAATCTCAAGTTATGATTATAGGAAGAAGAAAATAAAAAATCACTCACCCAGTAGTAAAGATAAGGCCATGACGTAAGAAAATGGCTCTAGTTGCTTTCGAACCCTCATGACATAATGCTTCAGACTCAATATCGCCAGTTCTGGGATCAATAATTCGTATTTTCTTGTCTTTGCATGTTGTCACGAGTTTTGAGCCATCCCAATTAAAGCAGGCACTAAAGACGATGTCAGGATGACTGTCGATATGAATTAAAACCTCACCCGTTCCAACATTCCAAATAACTATCTGATTATCGGAACCAGCTGTTAAAAGAACATTAAGAGCAGATGGATGCCATAATACTAATCCGACCCGTCGCTGATGATACAATAAGTCCACAACAGGCTCAGTAAGAGTTCGTGATAAACCTCCATCAGGAATTTGCCACACCTTAAAGCCAAGAACAAACAATAGATTTATTGAATAATGTGATTATGAAGGCCTGACTTGATTTTGTAAATAGTTTAAGTTTACAAATATCTAGCGACCGACGGACGAAAATAGTAAGTTCTATTTTTCTCAATCATCATACTTTTTAAAAATATTTTATGAATTCATCTTCATGACTACTTAATGAAAATGGGTATGAAATGAAAATATAAATATATCTCTTTAAGTAAGCGAATCGACCGTGGTCTATTTATAGCAACCTTCACGAAAAATCGCAATTGGAGTCTCCCTTGAGTTGAGAAGAAAAATAATGATGTCATCAAATTAATAGTGATGCTCACCTTTACGACACAATCTTCCGAACCTGATGCAATGACATTGTCATTATGTGGGCACCAGGCAATATCAAGCACGGGTCCTTTATGTCCACCGACTAAAGCATGATCTGCAGGAATTCGTCCGACCTACAAACATCGAGATTATTTCAATTTTGTTTACAATGCTTGACACACTTAAACTTTAGTTCCTCACCTTGTTGTGCGGCAAAACGATAAAGGCACCACCACCAGCTGACTCAACGATAATGGCTAAGAATTTTGGATTGACAGCACAGAATGTAGAATCCCAGCTACTTTTTGACACTCTGATATTATCATAGCATTGCTCTCGCTTCAATGCCTGTCCATAAACGTGACGGAATTTGGAACTTCTCACAACCCGAAAAGACATATTCTATGTTGCTATTTAATTTTGTGTGTATATTAATTTATGTGCTATAATTCAGTGATTATCCCAATAGTGGTGATGTTCTGTATATAATAATAAAGAGAACAGTAATGAGCTTTTTTTAAGGCTGGTAATTATTGCTTGTTTGCTTGCTTGCTTCTTCTTGAGCCGCGAAAATACAAGAGACATACAAGCGCACACAAATTTTTTTTATAAAATAAAAGAATATACAGCAATATTAATTATCAGAGCCGATAAATGATTTTTTTTTATCACACACTGCAAGCTATGGAACACATTTTCATTCTTCGTTTTCCACACACATTCGCTGCTAATTGAAATGAAGAAAAATCAGATCAAATGCCGAGAAAAGTGATGATTTTTTTCTATTTTTTTCATTCCTTTAAATTCTTCTTAATTCACTAATTAATGACACATTCTTGAATCGTACGGAATGCACGAGAGCACATACTTTATGCAGCAATTTTGATATAATGTTAATTCCTGGAATTTGCACAATAAACTCAAAACATATGAAACTTACAGGATTACAGAAAAAAACTTAAAAAAATTATTTTCCCAAAAATGACCAAAATAGGCGATTCTAGTTCCCCGCATCAGTGCTGCACCATTTTGAGCGTCTTTTCTCTATATTAATACTCTTTTATGTTCAATTTCGCTTGATTGGTTGACTGTCTCGACTTTATGTTTCTGGATGTGCTCGAAAACCATACAAATTCCTGAGAGCAATAAAAATGTTGTAGGGTTTTTAAATTTATCAAAAATTTATAGAGTTCTCAGATTCAAATTTTTGAAAAACGTTGTTTTTAAAAATATAATTCTCAACATTAAAATTTACTTTATTTTATATTTATGATATGCGCTTAATTTACCCATTATTTGCATTTGTTATTACTCTCTCATTTCGAATGATTCACTTTTTCATGGAACTTAAAATCGAAAAATTTCAAATGTTAACGGCTTTTATTGAAAAAACTCTATTTAATTACATTAGATGCACTTTTATGTATCACAGATTATCTTATTAATGAATAAATGTCTCAAACTTGATTGCTGTTTATCTCATACTCAACACACTCTCCATGATCATAATGAGCTTTCAATTCCTCTCTAGTCTTGAATTGATGCATAATGTTGAATGAGCATTTAAAGAGCTGTGGACCAACGTAGTTTTTCTTGCATTTACTCATGTGTCCTGGCATTTTTGATCTCAAAATCGCATGCGATTCATTAAATGGACAAATAATAATTTCATCTTCTCTGAAAAGTTTCATATTACACATTAATTTGACTGTTCTTCAATTACTCTGTGTAGCTTATTGTTAAGTAGTTCTTGATCTTTTATTGTACTTACTGCATCTCCATGATAAATTGACTTTTAATTAAGTTTTTTGTTGATGTTTAATTTTGACGTGAAAATGATATCGAAAATTCGTAGATAAACTTAACGGTTGGAAAATAATCAAATTTGTATTCGAATAAAATCTGTAACGGAAAATTTCATTTGACGGTTAAATTTTGAAATTAAAATAAAGGCAAGACCAGTTTAATTAAGTTTTAGCGAGAAATATAGTTCAAATATCTTATATTTTAACATCAAACAAACATTGATAAGTGTGTCTATAAGTGTGTTTTGAAGAATATCTCAAAAACAGTCCGAAACATGGATAATTTTACTAAGGTACGCTTTGTTGTTTTTTCAAAAATGTTTTGTCTCAAATATTTCCTCAAATTTACTATATAGGGATTATTGGAACGTAATGAAAAGAGAAATAAGGCATTAGGAATATCATCTAATCAGAGTTCTTTACTTGAAGAGAGTTCTTTCATTGATAAAGAAAATAAAAGACAGGATACAGTAAAAGTATCGTCGCCAAGAAAATCAGCACAAACAAGCCAAGTTACGCGCTATAGTAACACGCCTAAAACAGTATCAAGCAAGAAAGAGGATGCAGATGTTGCAGTCGAAATAAATATCACATCATCGCAAAACATCCAGGTAGAAAAAGTTTATTACCAATTTATGTTAACAGCATGCATTAATAACTTACTTACTTATTATACAGGTTGAAGTAGAAGTGGCTGAATGTGAGTACGACGAAGACGGTAAAATGATTAAGAAAGGAGAATCGACATTAAATTCCTTATCAAACTTTGACAATTTTAATAATGCGGTTCAATTACGAGATCATTCGCGAAAGAATTTGAAACGACTTGGAATTTTATATTCAGACAATGATCAAATATCATCGCCGATTCAACGTACAGAAGAAAAATTCTGTGAATCAACATTACAGTCTCGTCCAGTTAAAAAGTATTCAAAATTGGTAGAACTTGCTCAAGACATAAACAGTTGGGATGATGATTATTCGCATCATCAAACAAAGAGCAATAAGTCACCAATGAAAGCTAATTCGGTTTCTAGTAAATCCAGTACATCATCTCCAGCAAAAACTCACTCGACTGTATCAACTCCTGATAAACTTCGTAGCGCAATCACTTCATCGCCAGTACGAAAAGAATCATTGCTAAAATCAGTAACTGACAAGTCTAATAATTCACCCAAAAAGCTTGTTTGGGACAAAAAAGTCATGGATTCATTGGAGGCACAAGGTTTTGCTCGTCGTGAATCTACAACTCCCAAACTTGTTTACGATTACTCAAAAAGTCAACCATCAACATCTACAGCATCGCCTAAAAAATCATTCATTAAGCCATCTGATAAAGTTTCAAACAATTCGCCTGTTAAGAAATTTCCAGTAAACTCGCCAGCTAAAAAGGAAGTTCCTAAACCTCCACCTATGAGCATGCCAGCACCAAAACCAGTGCAATCTACTTCCTCTCAATCGTCAAACAAGTCTATTGAGCAAAGAAGTGTCAGATTTACAAACAATTTTGTCAAGAATCAAAAAGATCCAGCAGAAATGAGTTTGAAGGAACGAATGGCAATATTTGAAAAGAATAAAGGCAAAGCACCTGTTCCCAGAAGTCAATTTGGGATCACTGATGCAAATCCTATTCGCACAAACATGCCAGAATTAACGAAAAAGTATGATTTTGGCTTTAAAAGTAGTCCTGGAAAGTCTGTAGCATGTGGAAATCTTACAAGCGATACTGTTAATAAGGAAAGTGTCATTGATAAAGCAACGATTAATATCAAATCTGCTGTTAATAAGCTGTTGGCTGAAAAGGAAAAGACAATATCTGAAAAGCAGATTAGCGATGAGATAAGAAAGCAACGTGAAGAAGACATGAAATGCATTATGAATCGTTATAGTATGAAGGATCAAGATATGACTAATGAATCAGATGGCAATGAGATTATGTATGAAGAAAAAAGTGAGCGTAAAAGAAGAAGCAGCAGTTCTGAAAAAACTCCAATCGAACATATTACAACACAGACATCAATTGATGATAAGAAACGTGCCAGAATATCAAATCCACAAAGATTATATCCAGTTTTATCAGACATAGAATCTACAACAGATTCAGAAGTTGATAATTATACAACAGCAACTGTATCATGTACTGAGGATAATAGTGAGAATAATCATTATGCTGAAAGTTCTCAAAGAGCAACAAGTAATGAGCCAGATATGTCTAGTGAAGATGAAAGTGAAAACTTAAATTTGAGCATTGGACGTGAACTTTTGAATAAAGTCCGTAAAAGTACTGATTTGGGAAGTCAAAGCTATTTGGAAAGTACTGTCAGTTCAACAGACGTTAGTGATGCAATGCATGATATGGATGACTACTTAAATGAAGCGTTAGACGATTCAAAAGATTATGATGATAAAGGAAGTGCCTGTTCAGATAGTTTTGAGTATGAACGATACCCAAAACGAGTAAGCTTCAGGGAAATGTCTAAAGACACTGAAATTCCAGTCAAGTCAAAAGTTGAAATTAGTCCAGCAAGACATGGTGATGATTCAATTACTTTGGTACATACAGTAAGTTTCTATCGTCGACAGCAAACAGCTAGTGCTAGTAACACACCAATCAAAAAGATTGTCCATAAAACTGAGGAAATGGATAAGAATGAGACAATAAGAACTCAAACAGCACGAAAAGCTAAAGAGGAGTGTGAAAATAAGATTCAGCGTTTACTCGATGAAGTCATGAGACAACAGACAATCATCTCTCAAACTTCACAAGCTTTAAATCTCTGTGCATCAACTGTAGAATTTTCTGGCTCAACAGAAGCTGTTGAAGGTGAACGTCATTTACTAGTTGCTACTCATCGTCGCTTAGCTTGCTTAAATGAAGTTCAACGGTTGAAAGTTGAAGGACATGTCGATAGATTTGGTGCTGCGAAAGAAAAAGGAACATTGACAATTTCAGAGATAATAATTCCATTGAAACAGACGTACATTAATCGATTGGCAACAGACGAAATTAATGGTCATCACTTGTTGTGCTTAGTTAAATATAACGAATATGTACTTGCATCAAAAACCCTCCCTACATTGCCTGGACTTAAAAGCGTCAAATTTACTGACAACTTGACATTCAACGAAGTTTATGCTGACTTTAAGGTAATTAATGTTAACGGATTTTTGAAGTTTTTACGGATTTTTTAATTTGAAAATTTGTTCAGTAAGCAAAAATTCATTTCAGTTCAGTTCATTTTTTTCAAATTTGAAAAATTGGTTAAATATCGATTTCAAACTATCTATTCTTATTTTACATTTTATTGCCTTCTCAGATTACTCTCGAAATTTATGGAATGACTGCTCAACGCGAAATTCTTCCACATGACATTAAATATCACATCCAAACACCAAACAAGAAAAAGTTCAAGTCACGTTTGCAAGAATCAAATCTCGCTCGTCTACCAATTCAATCACCTGGTGGTCCAAATGCTGTTAGAACTCCAGCACTCGTACAATATGGCTACATAATATTCTCACTTCGTGAAATTAAGCAGAAATCTTGGGTTATAAATGAAACTGCTGCTGGCGTTAGTCCATTGAATGGAAATGTATACTTGAAAATTGATTCAAAAATAACAGTCGATGTTAATCATTGTGGCTTCTTGACGATGTTTGATGACATTTCTGGATTTGGAGCATGGCATCGTCGCTGGTGTCGATTGAGTGGAAATACACTATTTTATTGGAAATATCCTGAAGACGAGAAACGCAAGGAAGCATTAGGACAAGTAGATTTGACATCTATAAGTACAGAACGTGCTGATCAAGCACCAAGGACTATTTGCTCTCGTCTACATACAATCTTATTAGAATCAAAACGTGAACGAAGATCAGATGACGTAGAAACATTAGTTTGTGTGCCAAAAGAAAATTACACGCTAGCCAGGTAAACTTTTTTTTGCATTTTTAATGCCAATTATTGTCTAATTCGTCTTTTGCATAAATTATTTAGGCATTTATTGGCTGCAGACACGAAGGAAGAACGTGAAGAATGGTGTGAACATTTAAACAAGTCATTGTCACTTTTAAAATCTTGGAGCAATTCGAAACATTAACCACATTCATTAATCTTGCATATTTTTTCCTATATATTTTATACTTAGTTTGAAATTTTTTTTTTTTTTTGAGTATTACTTACTTATTAAGATTAAAAACGATGCGTTTTTTATGTATGGAAAATCAGACTTTCCACAAGTGAAGCATAAATGATTTATATTTGACTAAATAGCTTGTTTTAGTTGTTGACTACTCGAGCGATTCCATGAGTGAAAAAAATATTTTTTTCACACATGGAATCGCCCTCTATCAATTTAATTTACGTTACGTAAGTCCTTACGTAATTTTGAAAACATAATTTTCAAATATTTTGTTACCGTTATTTTTTGAATTTTTTCACAACCATTGTTATTTAAATACCAAATTTCACTTTGGTCACAAAATAATCAACTCTTGCAAACATGTCGTGAATTATAAGCAGCAATAATAATCAGAAAAAATTGATTTTACACTCAAGCTCTATTGAAAATGCTAGTAAAATACATTCGGTTCCGCTTTTCAATCAAAAATCAATGGTCAGTATGGACATGTCAAATAAGCAATTACCAGGGCAATTACAATAACTTATTAATGTTTAAATAAGAACAACTTTAATTTGTGAACACTCAATGCTTTATTGTCTCATCAATAACTTTAAATCTCTTTTAAATCTTTAGACTCGGTACTTTTGCTGCTTAAATATGGGAATATCTCTCAGTCATCATTATTTGCCTTCTTTTTTGATAAGATAGTGAACAAATCCAAGATAACAACTTACAATACATTTTATTATATTTAATTCCTTAATCAATTCTAATTGCATGTAATTTTATTACCGGTGACTCAATATACTTTTTACTTTGGATAATCTTCAATTCACGCTGTTGAGCATTTGGCTTTACTTTACCAGATCTGAATTCTTCTCGCATAGAATCAATTGTAACTTCAATGACTGACTGAACTGATGCAATTGTTTGTTCGAATGCTGTTTTCAGGTCATTTGGTAGTCTCGTTGAATGTGCCAGGAACAATGCAGCGAATAAATCGCCAGTTCCAGTTAAAAATATATTTTTTTGTGGAATCACGATTTTATATTTTTCATACTCTCCACTTGATTTCTTTGTACTTAGCAATGCAATAAGCTCTTTAGGACCACCGATATCACTTGATGAAAGTACGACAGTCTTTACGCCTTTCTCATGGAACCACATCATTCCTTTCCATGCATCGTCTTCATTATTAATTTTCTGTTCAGTCAATAACTCGACTTCAAATTGATTTGGTGTACAAATGTCACATAAAGGAACGATTTCTGAACGAAATATAGGCAGTAAAGATTTTTCTACATACATCCGACCATTATCTCCCATGACTGGATCACAAACTGTTGATTAAAAGTGTTATTTAAACAACAATTAATGAGTTGCTGATGTTCCTTACCATAAATCATGTCTGGATTGACAGCTCTGAGTGCTTTAATGATTTTTGCAATTTCCCTCAAAAATTCATCGTTGCTGACATATCCAGTCAATAGATGTGTGTAGATCGTATCCAAATTATTAGCTTTAAGTCCATCAAATAATTCCTTAAGATCATTTTCATTTAATATTTGTCCTTTAATCGTCGTATATCCAGTATGATTTGACAATTGGACACTATTAATGAAATCAACATCAATTCCAAGCACCTAAGTTGGAATGTTAAGGTAAATTATTTTAATTTAATTAAAGATGTTTAAGATTCTTACCTGCAATGGAAAAACAGCAGATTTATTACCACAATAGCCATGCACAACATGACTTTGGATAGACAAAACACGACTTTCTCTTGACATTCTTATATAAAAACCCAAAACTTTAGTTTAATCAACAAAACAAGACTCATTCTTTATTCGTCAATGACTGAGCATGTACTGAGCGAGTCTCATTAAGTACTTCAAGTTCAACTTTCTATATACAATAAATATAAAATTAAATAAAAATGTGATTGTAGATGAATAAATACAAATAAAAGTGATAAGCATAGAAGAGAATAAATCCACAGCTGATTTTGGAAAGGAAGGAGAATTAAAGATGAAAAATACGTTATGGATATTCAAGTTACGGAGGAAAAAAGTTTTATTGATCATATTTTCATCTAGATAAATGAATTAAATTTGAATAAAATTCTTTTAAAATACACTTTTCAAGTTTTGAGTTTAATTAAATTTAAAATATGCGATAACTTTGCGGATTGGCAGTGACGGATACTCTTTTGATCAAAGCACTGATATGATCCCAATTCTTCAAATCACAAACCGCCAAGATTTCATCAAGAATGTCACGCTGTAACTTATCTTCGTACAGCTTTTGCAGATACTTTAATAATCGTCCATATTGTTGCGACGTGTATGCATGCCAAATCGGTAATAATAAGTACTGTAAAAAAATAATAATAATAATAATGTTATTAATTGCATTCAAGTGGTTTATGGAAGAAAGAATTGTTCTGACGTCAGGCAATCAATCAACGGAACTGATTAACTTTTTAAAAATTAATTGAATTTTTATAAGCATCGAAAAAAGTATTAATCCATCGGATTAACCACTGGAATTTAATTAAATCTGAGGATTTATATTTGAAAATTAACCGTCGAATAATGATTTTCATGCCAAAAAGCCTACCTTAGGATCATTGAAATCCACAAATTTCATTATTTCATTCATCAAGATGTCAAGTTCCTCATCATTTTCAGCAGCAAATGTTTCCAGTTCCAAATTTCTAATCATATTAAGTTTTCCAACAGCAATTGCTTTCTTCATGTATGCTTCAAGTAATTGTGTCTTTTGCTTTTCCATTATTTGCTTGATTTTTACAGCATCAGGTCTATTGTCTGCCTTCATGCCATAATATGACAGCAACGATTCTTGGTTGATTCCTTCAATGACTTGATTTGACAGCTTGACAATTTTACTCAATTTTGTCTTAAGCTCATCAAGATTTGTCGCAATGTCCTTAATTTGTTTGAGGAAAGCACTTGGCAGTTGATTCTTCATGTCACTGCCATTCTCAATGTTTTGTATTAATGAAAGATGAACGCCAACAAAGCCAGCATTCCCTGACACAACTTCTTTATATAAACTTTCAGCATCTTCTGGATCTAATTTTGAGATAAAGTCACACTTAAAGTTCCTTAATCCTTCCTTAAACTCTTCCATTTTTGTTTTTGTTTCTTTTGGCGAACTTCCATTCTTTTTGACCATTGGACCTTCCGTTATAATGTACGAAAATGCATGTGTATCAACTTTACGTCCCATTTCATCCTTAACAAATGTTATTGTTCCTTCAAACCACGATGACTGTCCAATTATATTCTTTGTAATTTTCTCATTCAGCAGTGGTGTCACATAGACAGCTTTTGTAGATCCAGATGACATCAAAAATGAAGAAACTTTCTTGTTTCCTGCTAACACAGCATTATTGAATGACTTATAAATGTCCAAATTGAGGGAACTTGGTAGTTTAAAGTAAACCTGCATAACAACCTCATTTGCCTTCTCAAGAAGTTCCTTCTTCTCATGTCTAACTTGAAGTTTAATGACATAATCACCTTTATCTAGTTTAAAGAATGTATTATTTGAATAAGCATCGCCCGATTGGATAAGCATCTTGTTCGTGTCAAAGAGCATCCAAAATTGAGATTCAAATTCGGACTCGTATAAAATGCAGTTAAATAATGGAGCATGTAATGAGAGCTCTTGAGCCTTTGACAAATGCAAATTGTAAGTTAAAACATTCTGAAAGATTTGACGTTGATTTGGGATGACATCGCGCTTAGTTAATGTGCTTATTTTCGTATCCGTTGGCTTCAAGACCATAACTGAGTGCTTTAATGAAATTGCTGGTTGACATTCTTCAGTTAATAAAGATGTGACGTCAATTCTATGGATGCCATTAGCACTATGCATTATATGTGCATTATTCGATTTAAACCCATGAAATTTGACTTTATATTGCAATGGAACTTCGCCAAAGTTTGACCAATATTTAGCGATACATATTTCAACAATATTTCCACCAACGCATTTAAATGGATGTAAAGTCATGACTTCACCATTAACAGGAAGAATCTTTGCAGTTTCCATATGTTTACAGTAACGCTGATCAATAATTTGCATTGTATGGACCAAAAACTTGCCACCAACTTTATCTTTAGAATCGGCAGAAATCATTTCTAAAACACCATAAGTTGCATTATTTGGAACCACAACAAAATCACGAATGATTGTGTTTGGTTTGCAAAGAATTGTGTCTGGAGATGGAACATGCTCAAAACGTAAGGAATCGACTTCAAAAGGTTGAACAACTGTAATTGGCACTTCAAAAACAGTTCCTTTTTCAGCAGTTGAGGATGTATCGTATGCCTTAACACAGCCTCGATAAACGCCAGGCTGAAGATTGGTTGGATCTACTTTAATAATAAACGATCGAGCAGTATAGCACAAGTCAATGAACTTTCCACATTGAATCCATGGATGCGACGGAATCAATGTAAGTCGAATGTTAAAGTTTATCTTGTCATTTGAATCTATAATAAAAAAAACGTATTTTTAAAATTTAAATAAAAAACATTAAATTCAAATTTGAAATAATCGTTAAAATTCATATTTGAAAAGATCGTTAAAAAGATAATTTAACTTACCGGCGTATTTGTCATTAAACATTAATGGCTCAACGTTGACATTAAATTCTTCCGTTTTAGTCAATCTTCCGGTGCGAATGTGAATACCTTTATTACCGTTATTTCCAACAGTAATCGCAAATCTGACATTATTTTCTGGCTCTTTTTGATAGGTTTTTAAATACTCGAATAATTTTTCAACATTCAGCAGTCCAGAACCTTGAGCAAATTTATCGGCAATTTTTAAATGTGTTGACGTATTCCAAATAGCTCTCTTTATGCTATATGGTGTATAATTAATTTTTAATTGCTTCAACGCAGAAATTATTAAAGCAATGCTTCCAGCAACGTGTGGAGCTGACATTGATGTTCCGTTCATCAATTGTGCCTTAGATAAAGTATATTCTGGAACGCTAGCAATTGCAGCACCCGGTGCACAGCATGTAACTCCATTTCCACCGTCAACTGCTGGATCTCTACTAGTCCATGTATACATATTTCCTCCTAATTTCTCTCTTAATGCATATTCTGCTTCCATCATCTCAGGAGATACATAAGCACCGACTCCGACACATACATCAGTTTGAATATCGGGCGGAGTTCCAATAGTGCTTAATGCCGGTCCATGATTTCCAGCAGAAGCTACCCAAACTACTCCATAACGATTTACTAATTCAGCCATTAATTCCCCAACACGACCTGAATTAGACCAAGCAGCATGCTCACCATACGACATATTTATCACATCAATTTTGACTCCTGCATCACATAATTCCATTATTTTAATAATTGCACGAACTAAGCCAACACCAGTTTCCATTGAGCCTAGACGACCATCGCCAATTGTTAATGAGACAATTTTACTTGCTGGTGACACTCCATTTAAATCTTCATTCTCTGGATGATATCCTGATGCTATAGAAGCTACGTGTGTTCCGTGCGATGAACACATTGCAACAATTTCAAGGACATTACCATCATCATGGACATTAATTGATACAGATAGATATTGATCAACTTTTACCATTTCATGAAATTTGCTATATTCTCGAATGACTGCTCCCTTTTCTAAATCACCATTCTCATTAATATCAATGACTGCTGTCCAATGACCATCCTTAGATTTAAATAAAATGCAATCATATGTTGTTTTAGTCTCACTGAACTTTTTATCGGCGCTGTTAACAAACTCAGTAAGATTCTCAAGGTTTTCCTTTGTTAATTTATCTTTAAAGCTCAGGTTGTTTGCATCTGTAATAGCAGCAAAAAAAAGTTAAATATAGATCACTGTATTAAGGAGCACAAAGACATTTTCTCACTTGAATTTTTTCCATCAAATTCTGCAATGTCACGAGATATGTCAGCTAAGACCTTCTTATTCTTTTCATCCCATTGTTTCTGTTTAGCATCAGCTGTAATCTTTTCTCGGATTCTTGATGGATACAAATCTGATAAGCTTTTAAGACCCAATCGATATTCAGTGGTTGCGTTATTGGATTTCATAAATTCTGAGACTTTCAATGTACGTCCTGATAAGCCAATGAGTGTGTCATCATTACTAGCGTTTACGATAGTCGTCATTAATACGTCTCCACTTCCACTGCAATCAAACTAATGTTTAAACAGCAATTAAATAACTTTTAATACAAGATATATTATGATAAATAATACTTACACGCTCAATCACTTTGACGTCACCATTTGGAATCTTTTGTAAACCACTAGCCAATGGATCAACTCCAGAATCTATCAAATGATTAAGATCCAGTTAATCATTCTCAACTTTTTATTTGGGAAACATTAGAAATTACCTAAAACTGCAATTATTGTATCTTTTCCATTGAATTCAGGATATTTTTGAAGGAAGTTCAGCACATTTGTCTCTGCTTTAGGCTTTAATGCACAAATTGGATACTTCTCATTGTTGTAATCACCCATTTTACGCAAATTTATATTCGTCACTTCCAAAATTTATTTTATACTTGAAATCAGGGCCTGAGTCTCGTTTCTTTGTTAATTTTACTTTATGTCTATAGTTTTAATTACTGTAAACTTTAATCCGGTGATTTTGTAGCTTAATACACTTGATTGACGTGGTTAATAATGCTTTAATTAACTTTAACCTTTGACACTGGATGTTATGTCGTTTTTTTGTGGATCGCAAATTAGTGTTCCTCGATTTGAATAATTGTCTGTTTTTGGAGGGGAAAAAACTACGATTTTAGATATAATCGCAGCTATTTAGATCAAAGATCCCCTCGTGAATTTTTTTTCGAGAAAATCAGATATTTTGGAAATTTAATTAATTACACAGGATGTGGTTCGAGATCATACCACCTTGCGCGATTATTTGCGTCGCTTTATACTTACCTGGATTTGCCACTTATCATTTAAACAAAGCAATATGTGGAAATGTAAGTGATTAAAATTTTCCGATATGTTGTATAACAAAATCATGTCAACAAAACAACTTTGAGCTGTTTTCAAGCCTATTCAGCATTAATCTATAGTTAAATGACTTATTTGTGTTCATTTTAGGCTTATCGTAGAAACACCGACGAGAGATTTGATCGAGTAATGTATATGCGAGACTACAGAATCAACAAGAACGTTTATCAAGGACAGGTATGTTTATTGACTCACTGGATCAACTGGAACACTATTTATTTTTTAATTTTAGGGTCTCGAGGGTATTCCTGATAAATAAACTATTAAATTACTATGATTTGTAAATTCAAGTTTAGAATTTGGTGTTTAAATAAATCCATGTAACAATTTAATTAAATTAACTTAAATGGATGATTTTATAGCACACGTCAAGCGTATTACAGGTCCTGGAATTTACAGCTACATCGATATATCTCCTTAGAATTGCGTTGTAAAATTCTTTATAGAACGTGATTAGAGCGTGAGACCGTAAAACGAATCAAAGTATAAAGGCTCTGATGGGCTGAAATGTTATAAAAAGTCCTGTGATAGATTTAGGTACAATAAGTAAGACAAGATGTCTAATTGAGCATTAAATACTTCAAAATAACATTTTAGAAACCAGCATCTGTAAATTAATCAAGGAGAAATTGGAAGGACATTTGAGGCTCTGCAAATAGAAATGAGAATTAAGCATTTTTCAATGATCGGACTATATTTTCTATTTCTTTGTTCAAAAGTATATCATATTATATATTTTTGGAAAGGTCTTGATTTGAGGGATACAAAAAACTTAATTATATTAACCAATTTTATCCAGAGTTGGAACACTAGTGCTCAGAATATGGTGAAAACCATACTTTTTCAACGCTCTTTTTCACCTAGTTCCAGTTGGTCAAAAAATATGCTTTTATGATTTTTAAATAGCAGAGATCGAAGCCGATTTTTTCGGCTTAACTCAATTTTTGATTTTTTTGATAGAAAAAAGCCATTTGACACCCATTTCAAGTATTTAAATTGAACTTTACATGCTTTACTTTATTCTGTGTAATATTTTGTCAGCATGTAGCTATAGTGAGCTCAGAATTTCAATTTAGCCGAAATTTAAGCCGATCGGCTTATTATTAATGAAGAATAATGTAGTGTGCATCAACACTCAAAATGGAATTATTTTGTATAAAAAACAATGGTAAGGTAAGATCTTGTATTTTAGTAAATCAGAGTTTAAAGTATTTTGTACTACCTCAATTCACTGACAGCGATGATGTCACGGTTAAGGTTTCATTAAAAGATGAGAACGGCAATTTTATTGACATTATTTTCTGTAGTAGGTATTTTCCTTATGATTCGGTATACGACCCTCTAAGTCATAACATCATAAATTTGGTTGATTATTGTAACAAAAGTGGCTTGAATCTAATTGTTGGTTTGCGATGCTAATGCACACAATGTGGTGTGGGGTAGCAGCGATACCATAGGAAAGACCTTAGCATCTTAATTGGTGCTTTGACCGGACACATGAGTATCAATAGTTTTCTTTTTAAATTGAATCTGTCTAACAGTAAAATTTGCAGGTTTTGTAATGTGAATGAAGAAACAATCATTCATATACTTTGTAAATGTAAGTTGTAAATAATCAATAACAAAAGGTTTTTTATGCAGTGTGGAAATGTTTAAGTACGTTCCACGCTGCTTTTTCCTTTTACAAATGACAAAATTCAGAAAAGTTAAGGTCCTTTAATTTTAGTTCGGACCATAATAAATATAATAATAATAATAATATAATTGTAAATGTAGGTCAATACGAGGACAAGGTGTCAAGCATTTTGATGAGGATATAAATAAGCAGCATTATCAGGACATTATTGGCTTTATTAAGGACATAGGAATTCTAACATAGGGGACTTGGGATGGTACAACAGATCATCGATCGCAGTGCCGCTTTTGCTACTAGCAAAACCCTACATTACATTTTATTCTATTCTATGGTTTTCACCATATTCTGAGCACTAGTGTTCCAACCCTGGATAAAATTGGTTAATATAATTAAGTTTTTTGTATTCCTCAAATCAATACCTTTCCAAAAATATATAATATGATATACTATAACAAAGAAATAGAAAATATAGTCCGATAACTGAAAAATGCTTAATTCTCATTTCTATTTGCAGAGCCTCATTTAGAGATTCTCATTTTATTGTCACAAACTTTATTCATCTATCTGTGTTTTCTTACAAAACATTCAATTTTCAGAAATAGTAAGCATCTGATTTTCTACATGTTTAAACATTAATTTATTCATGTATGATGTTTATCTGATATAAATACTTCTTTATTTTCCTTCATCTTCCTGTTTGAGTTGATTTCTTTTTACCCTTATTATGATAAATATGATATATTTTCACTAACAGCTATTAATTTCATTATAATAGAAATATTCCACTTGATATAATTGATTGATTGATTGTTTTTCATTTTCTATTTAATTCATTTTTAAAAATCATCTATAGTCATCTAGAAAACATTATTATTATTTCTTCTTCTTTTATCAACCATTTACTTCATTAGTTCATGCATTATAATTTAATATGTATATTATTAATAAAGAGCATCTACAAAAATTTTGAGGCATTCAAACATTCAGTTTTCATCAGTTATAGCTTTTATCTATGATATACAAGTAAGGTAGTTTTCTGAACAAACTATTTTCCATCACATTTATTTATTTTTATTTTATTATTTATGTTGTATTTCTCATTAATAAACATATTTTTTACTCTTAAGTTTTCGTTTAGGACATTATGTCTATTTTATTTGATGTTTTTTGATTCTCTTTATAATTTCTACCACAGTCAAGATGAAAAATTATTGTCGACAGTAAAAGAATGATTCTTTAATTTATTGTCATTAATTCAATATTGTCATGAGTATATTGTAATTTATAGTTGCGACTCAAAAAGTCATTTGCATTTAACGGCTTTTTTAAACCAAAAGTTAAACCACATAAATGTTTTTTAAAAATTTGTATGGCTTTGAATATTTTTTAAATTTAAAAAAAGCCGTTATTAAGCAAATTTCAAAATATTACATAAGAAAAAGCGTTATTATGTTGCTAGACATTATCATCTATTATCATCTAATCATAATCATATTTTTTACTCATAAAATGAATTAAAATCCATTTTTAAAAAATGTAGAAAACGAATAAGTAATATTAAGTAAACGAGCTTCATATTCTGCTAATGTAATCTAGGATTATTGTATGCTTTATTATTCAGATATATTGTATCAAGTTAATATGTAAGTTGATTATTAGTTATTTTTGTTGTTCACAAAAAGTATGTGCGCTTTAAATTCCAATCATCCTAGTACATTGATACGATTTTTTTTTTATGCTAACATAAAGCTAAAAAGTTAGATATAAAGTTATTTTTTTCAACGTCTACAAACAAGCATATCTCATTTGATTCCTTTATTATTGTCTCTCGATCATATAATGTGCAATTCAAGAGGTGAGAAAAATAATAATTGCACGCTCTTTACTTTATTCTCCTTTCGAATAATTGAAATAGAGTCAAGTATGGAATTAACCCGAACGACAGTCACATGTTCTTTATTGGATCTCAACTAAAGTAACCAAAAATTGGCCAAAAATCAGTGGATCAGTTCAGCATCTTTGAGTTGTTCGCAAATTAATTTTTGGGGATTCAGAAAATTTGTGGCATTTATTGTCATGTTAATAAATTAGTATTCGGAAGGTCTCATTTCTTGATTAAAGGTTTTTGCTGTAATATGGCTACCATTTGACATGCCGCTCGGGATTAAATGTCTACAAGAATAAATACTACAATTAATGTAGGAAAAATAAAAGTTACTTCCTTCAATATCGAAGGAAGGAATTATTGTCTGAATAATATTATTTATCAACAGATCCTTTCGTTACAATATAGCTAGCTTATTATGATACATTCAATATTATTTCAGTATATTTTAGTGTTTTATTTTTTGAAGAAACAATCCTACAATGGATAGATTATTGTGATAATCATTTTTAATTTTGTTCTTCATCATCATCTTCAGTTATCATTTTTTTTTTCGGTCTCTAATTATTTAGTTAAAGCTGAAACCCACGCAAATGTATATATTTTTCATCATGTATATTTATTTTATATATCTAACATTAAAGATAGATAGAAAGGAGTGGAAAAGAAGGATAAACAGAAAATGAACATCTTCAAAAAATAACTATGAGGCATGTCTAAATGAGAGAGAAGAACGAGGAAGATGTAAAGATAAATAGATAAGAGCTTAAATCATTATCGTGAATGTAAATTTTCATATTTTTTTTTTCTTTTCTTTTTTAAGAAGATAAAAAAATTATTATTGTCATACTTCTGTCGATTCTGTGTATATAGTCTCATATTATAAAGATAAAAATTCATACATCTGTGTTTTAAAATTTCAAAAAAGCTTCGTCTACAAACTTTGGGGATACATTTTCGCTAGACATGTGTGCTTTTGTGTTCACTTCAACATACTGACTGGGATGAGTGTGAATTTAAGGATAGGGTGGTATCGTAGGATTTTCGAGAAGTATCTTAACTACTCCAAAATCGTTCAGAAGAATCATTAAAAATCATTTGTCAAAAACTTACTAAAATAAAACTTGTTATGAAAATTTAATTTTAAAAATTGAACATTAAAAATCTCTAGGAATTTAAATAACAAATTCAACTTATCAATTTGAATAATCGAAGTATCGAACCACTTTGAATAAAATCTTTAAAATAAATCTTCAAAACATTATCAAGGTTCATAGTATTCAAATTCATTACTTTTAATTAGCAACTTATAGTTTAAAAGATCTTGTGACTACACCCCAAACCTATGTGCAAAAATGAACTTTCAATTGCAAACCTGTCGAGCGATAAGATGCGCTTAAGCCAACCTATTCCAGTGACTAATATTTTAATTTTTTTTTATTGTTCATCATCTTATGTAAGAAATTTTACTTCTTTTATTGTCTAATACATAAAATTTTCATTATTATCATTTTTTTAATATAATATAATCGTCCAAAAGTTTTCATTTATTATCATAATTTTTGCAGAGTGTGTGAAATTAGGCAGAGAGGCATTGAATTATGAAAAGATAACTCGCACTGATTTATGGGGTATTAATGACAAGAAAATTTTTATTACGACACCTGCTACAGTTTTAGGTTTGAAGGTGGAACTAAATCTGGTCCATTGTGATTGATGACAATGAAAGTGAATGGAATTTTAAAAATTATTAAAGGTTTCTTAAATAGTGCTGGAGGCTTGTATCTGACTTATGAGCTATCAAGCTTATTTTATTAATGATCAAGCTTGACTATTAGATATCAAGTAGGCTAGTGTCGGAATCTTAAGTATCAAGCTATATAAAGACTAATTTTAAAATCTCTCGCAACAAAAAAGAAATCTTGTTTATAGACGGAGGTTCAAAGTTTGTACTTCAAACTACAAAACAAGAATCAGTCTAGAACTTGAAAATCTATAAAAAGATTAGATTTTCGCAAAACTTTTTAGACTTTAATTCAAAAATTAAATTCAAAATGTCAATCAAATATCACATAAATCAGGTCCTAGTTACCTCATTTAATCTAATACCTCGCCACTTATCCTCACGCACATAATTTTGCATGATTAAAATCTTTTGACATAAAATTCATTATCTTTCATTTTTTTGGTATGTATTTGTCATTGTCATAATTATTGATATTATTCTTTATACTATACTCAATAGATATTCATTAAAAGCTTATATTTTCGTATTTTTTTGTGTGTAGAAAGATTACTAAAATTCATCATTATATATTTCAATAAATAACGATCTAAAATTGAATTTTCTAGTTTCATTTTCATTTTCATTTTTTTTTCGTATATAAAAATATTTCATGTGATTACACATGTTTTTTTTGGATAAATACTCTATGGTTAAAATATTCATTCATTTTCTGTCATAAAAGAGATTATATTTCATATTTTTTAGCATTTTTGTCTTCTCTGATTTAGAAAATGTTTTATTTTTACTTTATGGAATCACTACACTGATTTACTAAAGGTAGTAATCATTAATTGAAGTGTCTCACGAGAGGTATATAAATTTTATTCAATATTAAGCACACTATGCACTGCATAGGATGCAATTTAAAATTCATTATTGTCTTTTTCAAAAAAATTTAATATTGTAAAAAACGGAGATTCTTCAACTTTCAAGTTCATTAATTCTTCACTTTATGTCTTTGTTCATGTCATAAAAATTTTTCTTAGCTCTCAAAAAAGCTTTTTAAACTCTGTTTTTTTATAGAAAAAATAAAATTCTTTAATAAAATCAACTTTTAAGAAAAAATTCCCATTTATTGTCTTTCATTTTTTCTTTTGAGGTAATATAAATTTATATGTATGCGTCTCATTCTATTTTTATGTATCTAAATATCATTTTTATTTTTTTTTATCAAAGAAAAAGAGCTTTTTAATATCAGTTGATATTTTGAGGAATTCTCTTGAGACAAATGTTTCTAAAAAATATATATAATTGTGATTTATAAATTGAGTGATGCTTCTGCTTTTCTTTAAAAATATCTATAATAATCATGAATGAATTGAAGCTTTCTTGTTATTAAGTTCTCAAAAAGAATCACTTACATATTTCAAAATAATTCATGGAATAAACTTAAAAATTTCTTCAACTTTTCCAAATTCCAACCAAAAAAAAAATGTAAAAGATTTGTGTTAGATCAATCTTAGAATTAGATCTTTAAGGATAGTCGTTAAACTAGTGACGCCTTTGCAGAAGACTTAACATGGTAAAGTTATTCATGTTTTATAAAGCAAAAAGCTTTAAAAAGCCAGATGTTGATCAAAACAATCGTCATCATTTGAAATTAACATTGAATTGCAACAAAGAATTTAAACTACTTCAGGCATAACACAAGAAAAATTGTTTTGCATATTAGCTCATGGTTGCTGTGTATGTGCAAGAAAATAAGAAAATTGAGATTCAAAATTCAGGTTAAGGACAAACATGAATACCTCAATTTAATACAGAGCAACATGAGAATCTGAAAGCTGAACTGACTGGATTTGTTTATGATTAAATTTATTAAAAATGATTAAAAGAATGCCATTTTTCTGCCTTTTCTCGACTTTTGTCAAAATAATGTCAGTATTCAAAAGATTTGATATAATAATTGAAAAACCCAAATCTAAGATTTAAGAATTGACAATAGTTTTTGATAATCTCTTAGAATCTAGTAATAAAAAGTCAATTTTGAATGTCTAATCTTGTCCACTTAATAAAGATCAAAACCAAAACTCAAAATCACTCATTTTTAATAATCATTGTTATATCTTTTATGACGACACTAATCTCAAGAGTCATCCAATAACTCTGATACATCAACATGATTCATCTACGTCATTATTTTCATATCATCATCATCATCATCGTTTCTAGAAAACAATATATTATTGTATTTTTATAGTATTGTCATACATTACGTTTCTTGAATTCTATATTTTTTTCTCATTATTCATATAGTAGTTGCATATGTATATATTTATTTAATAGTTAAGCGTGTTTCTTTCTTTGGATAATTTATTTTCTTCCAAAATACTTCTTTAATATATTTTATACTCTACTCTTTTTTTAAAAATTTCTTCATCATTATAGTCATCATAATATTTTTATTTATTTTTTTGTAATTCCTCTTTAAAAATCCCACAAATAAATAAATAATTTCTATAAAAATTCAATTCATTCTTTTCAAAAAGAGCAACCGATGTAAGTTTATTTCCATCTTATAAAAAAATTCATGTTTTCATGCTTTTTTCTCATTTGTCTTGGGGGTCGTTCACTAAGTTTTGGGGGAGATTTTGTAGCAATTCAAATAATTCATTTCTTTCTTATTTTAAAAAAAAATTTAATTTTGAATTACATAACTAGTGAATAGGCCCTCACGAGAAATAGAAATAATCACAAAAGCTCCAAAATACTTCTTTATTTTCCTCAATATCATGTCTTTATCACAAAAGACTTATTGATATGTAGTAGTGGTGACCAAAAGCGGTTTCATATTCGATCAAATTGTATATTATATTTATGAATGTATGAACGTTTGGATATGATTTATTATCAAGAATATAAAATTCCCTTTTTCACAGAGGCATAAAACAGCACAGAGATATACCAAAGAAAGAAGAAAAAAAAAACAAAATTGCCATTTGATAACATTTCTCTTTCCATTCTCTAGCTTTTATTCGCATTCGAATTCAGATGACGACGACGAAGTAAAATAGAGACGAGAAAGAAAAACAAATGATCCAGTTCATATTCAAATAATGAAATAAATGATGTCTCATGGGGGTAAAATCGTCTACGTGATGTCATACTTGCCCCATATCGTTCAGCAAACTTAAATTTAATCTTTGATTATGTATGATTTGTTATTTCTTAACCGAAAAGGTCAGAAATTTAACCTCCGTTCTCTGGGAATTTCGTATGATTGTTTATCTGACTCAATATCCATGGAATATATTTTGGAACATTCGCATATACTCCTGGTAGTTTTGGCTGAGCACACATTATTCCCCAACTGACGATGCCACCAACAAACCATTTATCACGATCATTTGGCATTGGGCAGAGTAAAGGACCTCCACTATCCTGTAATTATTTAATTTAAGAGTCATGTTAAAGATTTTTTTTTTATTTTGAATGTCACTTACCCCTTGACAAGCATCATATTTTCCTTCCTGAAGCAGTAACAATAACAACAAGAAAAAAACATATTAAAGATCGAAGAAAACAATAATATCCAATTCTTCCACAAATTTTTTTTTGTGGTAAAGAGAGTTAATAAATTCATACAAATTTGTCGGTCTGTTCAGAACACTTAGAAATAAGTCAAAATTGATTTACAATAATTAATATTATGAATGCAGCATTTATGGAAGCTTGACTTTGAGTATTTCTTCGAATTTTATCATCATTTTACAATCAAGTTAATTTTCATAATAATCCTGTTAAATGTTCAGAGAGCATGGATTATGTTTTTCTTGGAAATTTTCATTCAAATGCACTATATTGCTACACACGGATAATCGCTCAATTTTTTATAACTTCCCACTTTAAACTATAGCTTGAGGTTTCATCATTAGCTTTGAAAAGCAAATGACAAGCATCTATGGATCTTAAGCTCTAAACAGTTAACTTTATTTTATTTAATGAAATCTTCGAAAATGCGTTTAAAATTCTCAAATCCAAATTCTCTAAAAGAATCGTTTCAAACTCTTTCTTTTTTTGAAATTTCATCTTCCATGACCTGTGATTTATCATACTTCTTTCCTCCTTCTTCTTTATTTGCTTGAGAAAAGAAAGTATGCATGTTCTACAACAAAAAGTATGGGTTTAATCTCTTTAACGTAGAAGATGGAAGGAAAAAAATTCTATCATAACAATGACAATGAAGAAAAATACAAACGCTTACCGGATAACCAGCACATGCCATGCCTAAGATCAGGAGAAGAAATAAAAAATGTAAAATGGAGGAATTATAAGAATGACTGAAGGAGTTTAAAGGATCTTACCATCAGTAACATTGAGTGAATCCAACCATTCATTGCAAGTATCTCGATTTAATACTGGTACAGAAACCTCATTGATTGCTGTTTCATATGCTGTATTTTGTGCATTTGGATTTGCTATAACAATAAATATAATTTTTTTTGTTGTAGTTTCAGCATGTGTTGCAAGAAAAATGTGTATTTGTGGTTTATTTTTAAAGAGAAAATGAGAATTCCATTGCTACATTTACGATAAACATAAAAGAAGCTTTTCATGAATATTTTTCAAGGAAGTTCAAATGAAGTATAAAGATTATCTTTGTAAAGCAAGGAATTATTTTCATATTTTCGGAGAAATTCCTCTATTCGTAGACACTATGATAATACATTTTTTGTATACATGATGTGTAATGTAGTGAAAAGTTATGGCGCATTTTACATGAGATTTTTGACAATATGTTGTGACATCGATAGAAATAAAAGTCGAGAGCTTTTCAGTTTGGTAGATTTTTTTTTGGATCATGAATCTGAGGGTTGGATTCGCTGAAATTATAGTCTCAATACGTAAGTTTTACAATTTTATATTCCTATGCAATCAGTTATCTAATTCTCAGTCTGCTTTTTTTTATTATACAACTTTATAATAATCTTATAAGTGTATATTCTTGTGTCTGGCTTTTCTAAAGAAGCTGATATTTGAAGGTTATTAAAAAATTATAGTTTAAGCTTTATGGAAAGGTTGTAAAACGAATGTTTTTCTTCAACATAATGTTTGCCGAACTCAGGAAGTAAGAATTCTCAGAAGTACTATGTTACTCAAATAATAAAGGTAAAAAAGCAACATTAAATGAAAATATTTCTCCACTTAACAGCACCGAAGGTAAACACTTCCTAGAATGAATTTTAATTGAACCATAGAAGTGCCACAAATATTTGCTTTTAAACAGGTGTTGAGTATCGAATAACTTTTTTTTTGTGATTTAGTCTAATGTAAATCAGTCAAGGAATGTTATCGATTGCGGTGTCTTGAAGATTTTTAAAATGCTTGTAGATATAAAATCCAAGTTAATGCAAATGTTGAAAGATTAGACTTCCTAGATCAATGAATTTGATGAGAATATGAATCAATATCTATTTGAGATTTGTAAAATGAAATTTGTCAAATACCCTTTTGAAGGTTTACAGTTAAAAGTGCTGACAAATGGGTGATTTAAGAACATTTGACACGACTTCAAGTTACTTTTCCATTTTCAAGACTAAATCTTCGATAAATCTATAAGATATTGAAAGCTGCACTCCCCCATGTTTTTTAAATTCTGTTGAATACAAAATGCCACTTCAAAGAAGGTATAAGCCATTACCTACATAAAATTCAATACTTTCAAGTATATGCGTCAAAATTCATTCCATCATGCGTGTATCAAATTTGCTTATTTATTTATTTATTTGTTTATTTCAAAAGTGTGTCTTAGTTTATAAAGTTGCGTTTAATTCCAAGAAACCAAAAAGTATTTCTAAAGCAACGTTTACCTTCTTATCGGTTTTCATATTTTCTTCATTTTGCGGAAATAAATATTTTGATGTCTTGAGTAAAAAATGATGGTAGCGTTGGTTTGGCAAATTTTTAAAAGAAAAACACTCATACATGAAATTATTTTGAGGCTTTCGACAATCAAAAGATATATTTTTTTCTTTCTCGTGGAGAAAAGGAAATTAAATTCCTGCCAGTGTCAAGAGACAAAAAGATGTTTTACGTGTTAAAAATCTCAATAGCAAAAGTTTCTCATTCTTCTTTTGAAAATGTTTTCTCGTCGCATGTTTGAATAGGTTTAAATGTGATGACAATAATATAATGAGTGAGCGGGAGGAGAGGTGTGGAATAATCATGAACAATAGGAGAAATGTTTTAAAAATAGAAGAAGAGAGAAAGTCTCTTCAATCATTCAGTCTTGCTTGTGTTTTAATGTGTACATAGAAAAAAACTTACAATTTCTGTCTTCCTTCTTTCCCCAGCCGATGACAACCTTAAAAAGTCATTAAGTTTATTTTTCCATCTCGGTTATAAAATTCAAATGCCACTTATAATGATTTACTTACACATTTTGTTCCTGGCTCTAACTCTTTCATCGTACTTGGTGGCAAACAAACTGGCAGCAAATGATCATGAAAGGCGACACGTGTAGCCAACTGTTTTGTATTGTTAGAAGGGAGATAAAGGAATGAAAGCAAAATGAAAAGAGGAAAAAATAGAAAATCAAGTTATTGCCTCAATGCATATTAAAGAACATTAAAGAGTATTTTATTGGATTGTATACTACAAGCATAAAGCTTTAGTCCTCACTTGAAACAATGCGATATCATTATCATGTGCAACAATGTCATTGTATAATGGATGAGGTATGACTTTCTTTACTTTTATCTTCTGTCCATAATGGGAGTGCGAGTGACGACGTGTCATGCCAAGTTGAATTGTCCAATCGTTTAGATTCCTTAATGTATGACTAGTTAAAGGAATAAAAGTCAAAAATTGAAGTTCTCAAATGCTAGAAAATTACTCACTTTCCAATGCAATGACTAGCAGTAAGCACCCACTGATCAGCAATCAGTACACCAGCACAGTAGAAAATTTCCTCAGGTCCACCCAAAATAGCAGCCAGAAAAGGCCAGTCACCAGGTTTTGATTCATTTCCACCAACAATTCGAGTTTTTGGGAATCTACGACGTGCACGAACCTTTCCGCATTCGAAATTTGAGCATGCCATTTCGACAACAATCTGAGATGCATCATCATTACAGCTCGTAAACTCTTTCAGCAAGGTCGACGATTTCCTTTGTGACATTCTCATGTAAACTTGTGTATCTTGATTAGCATTAATTGTAATGTTTGTACCCTTTTTCAACAATCGGCTAGAGTTCACTGAGCTGTAACCGAGCATTGTGCAAACTTTAGATGGTGAATAGCTTTCGTCCCAATTCCGAATACACGCGGGCTCCCAACGTTTCTTTGAAGCCTTATAAACCTCAAGGGTACCTTTACCGAGATCTCCGTTCGTGGAACTAAGTCTTATGCAATTCCTCTCATCTTCTCCATAAGGACAAGTTACTGTTTTTATTTTTTATAATGGAACAGATAAAGATGAGTTAATTTTCTCAGAAAAAATAGCATTAAAGTCATTTAAAAGCACTTACCAGTTCCATCACAAATGTGTCTGTCACTCATACACTTCTTCTCACCACAATGGATTAATGATGCTCGTTCATTTGATAATGTTTGATTGCATGGAGCACATCTCAATTCATCTGTCTGATCGAAACAGTCTACAACACCGTCACATACGTATTTATATGGGATACATCTTTTATTCTTATCACACGCAAATTCATCGCAAACAGGCTTTCGTGCTTTGAATTCCTTCATCTCTTTACCGCCAACACACTCGTCGGCATCCATTGAGTCAGTAAATAGCTTACAATTAAGATATTCAGGAAGTTCTAAGCCAAAGACGTCAAAAAAGAATCCACAACGTCTCATTGTTTCAACACATAAGTTTTTGCATGGCGGTACAGGCTTTCCTGATGAACTGCACTTTGGAACGAATAATGCGCACAAGTATAACGGAGCTAGCTCAAAGCATTGCACATCAACAAGTGCATCAAATTGCTCGAGTTCAACTTGAGCTTCGAGTTGTCCAAAATGACCGATGTAGTTTGGAAATACGGTAAAATTGTATGGAACTTTGTGGTTTTGACAAAATTTCACAATAATCGGAAGGCATATGCCTCTTGCTGGATTGATACTCATTGTTTCAGATAAATCGAGACGTGTTGGAACACTTATAGTCTTGTTGACAAACTTGATGGTAGGATATGCACGAAAATAAGCGGCCAGTCCACAGGCAATTATAATAAGAGCAATTGCATTCAATAATATCTGACAAAGACGAAAGCGTAAAATGCCACGTGTCACGTATGGATTGGAATTCTTGCGAGCTCGCAGAATCTATTTGTCGTCAAATGAAAAGAATGAAACATGAAATGAATTGAGAACACACGAAGGCGATATTTAATAAGCATAAGAAGAAAGTAAGATCAGAAACCCATCAAATGTCCTCTTTTATGAAATATTGAAAGGAATTTCCTCTGTCTTCTTTCTTTAAATATTTAATAAAATCTCATACCTTGTGCTGCAAAGACATATTTGAACCGTTAGAAAATCTGACGATTGTTTGTAAGCTGGCTGGAGTCGACGCACTCTTTATGATAGCAGCAGCATTGTTATTGTCAATGGTTTCTTGTGCTATTTCATCGTTAGGTTTATAACATTGTTTATCTGTGTTGTAATAAAAAAAAAAAAATGAAAGCAATAAGTTAATTGAAAAGAGAAAGCAATTTATCCTTTTTGTTGTTCTGAATGACTTTTATCTTTGTACCATCAATAAAATGATCAGACTGCTTTCTAACGCTCCTTTTCAATTGTTTTGAGATCTTAATTATACTATCTTTTTTGAAATTGCTTCAATACTGGTTAATTAAGTTTAAATTTTGTAGGATGTTCTTTTAACACTTGAGATGAAAAAGTGCCTACACTCATTCTTAATAAATAACATATTAAGCACTATTTTCATCTTGAATATATTTATGAAGTAATTCATTATAAATTATTTAAATGAATTAAATGTAATCAAGACTATTGAGACAAGACACCTACAAGGAAAATCTATTCTCTTCAATTCAGAGTTGTTAAGTTTTGTACAATGAAGTCTGATTCATATTTTGAATGGTTTTTTGGTTGACAACCAGAACAGAGATGATATCTCGCTGATACAGTAAGTAATGTCTTGGATAACAATTCTGTTAAATCTCAAAAATATTCTTCAATTGAGTAAATAAAATACCAAGCATCTACAATATAAACCCAAAAAATTCTTTGAATTCATCAATTAATTCCTTTCTTTCGAGAAAATGCTTGAAGCAATCAAAAAGATATATGAGGACTTTTACTGTAATTTAATCATTAAATGGTATTTTTCAATCCACTCAATAAGAAAAATAACCATTATTTTAATTCTCGAGTTTTCGCAATCAATTGAATGAGATTACTTGTTTTTTTGTAATGAACTCTTTTCAGAACAGCACGTTGATTAAAACGCTTTTAAATTCTGTGTAAACGTGCAAAAGGGAAGCTTTAATAAATGGTCAATGGATTATTATAGATTTGGCAAAAGCGTTGACGTATTTTCCATTGAAAAATACAGTACAAATTATGAATCAAAATTTACGTGAACATTTGTGTCATCATCTGAATGAGATGACATAGCAGTGATCAGCATAAATACACTGTCGATTGAAAAGTAATTTTGTCTACATACATGTACTCATTTTTGCAGCATGTGCCAAAAGTGGTGCATCTAATAACTTTGAACTTGGACTAGATGTTTGACTAAAACTATCACTTGATATGCTTGAATCTTGACGTCTTGTATAAATACTGCCTCCTGCGCATCCACGTTGAGAATTTTTATTAATATTTGACAAAATAAAGCTATCGGTAGAATTCTGGTGAATATTTTTAGATTTATTTATCTTAGAGACATTGTGTAGTAAAGGAGCTTCCATATTTTTAGTGCTGTAACCGGGACTTGACATCATTGAATAGCTGTCACTAGATATATTCGAGTCCTGACGTTGATTAATTTTCGCATGATGGATTTGATTTAATGGTGGTGGTTTATTACAATCACTTGAGCGGACGACATTGTTGCTATTACCGCTAGCGCTACTCATCATTGATGACAAGCACTGCTCGGCGTCTTTCACTGTCATTGTGAAATGGAAGAGAATAAAAAAAAGAGAGACATGAATGAGTGATTATTTATTTAAAAATAATGGAGTGTGATATGACTTACTTATGTCAGCTAATTGCGATGCTCTTAATGGTGGTATTGGTGGAGGTCTAATTCCTTTTCGTGTAGGCACAATTGGCCTGCTAGTGCGCATACCAGAATTTGATTTAATTGGTGTTGAAATTGACTTATTGTTGTCAGAATCAATTGAGCCACTGCTTGATATCTTTTTCGTCAAGCGATTTTGATCGAAATTGAAAATATTGGAATTCTTTTTGAGAACAAATGGTGAATCAGTGAAATTACTGTGTAATGAATCAATTGTATCAGCACGCTGTAAATCAGATGATAAATAACTGTCCAATGATGATTGTGTATCTTCCGATGAAAAGCGTCCGCGAAAATGTCGCTGATTTGTGGACACAGATGAGCGATCTCCCTCAAATGCCGATATATAACCTGTATCAATTGTCGTTTGCGAGCGACTAGAATCACTCGATGATTGATTTGGATCAAGTTTCTTATCAAAAATTACTAAATCATCTGAATCACCAATGTCATCAAAGCTAATTGAACACAAATCACTTGGACAATCTAATTTATTATCAGCATCCGATAAGCTTTTAGATTGAACTTTAGGCAATTTTGTCGTCGTCTCACAATTTGGATTGTAAAGTCTTCCTTGAAATGTTCGCTTTGGAATTGGTGGTGGTGCGAGAGCTAAACGATTTGGGGGATTTTTTCGTTCTTTATGTTGATACTGTTGATGCTGCTGATGTTGTTGTTGCTGATGATGGTGCAGAGGAGAATCTAATTGCGTTGAAAGCTGTTGATTTGCTGTTGATATTTTATCACTATCTCTTGAATCTCTACTCGAATCCCTTTTTAGTGCGGATAATGCTACAGACGCAATTTGTGTCTTTAATGTTTCTGTCTTATCTTGCTTCTTCTCGGTATTATTAAAATCATTTGTTGATGCTCGTTCACGATTAAAGAAACTGCGGAAAAGAAATTTGACAGAAGAATGAAAATCTCATTTAAATCAGAATCATCTTCATCGTTATGTAACCTTTTTCTAATATCTGATGTGAACGTTTCAAACCGACATTCTAGTTCCTTTACAAGAGCCGTCATGTTGATGAAAAATTAATTTAGGCAGCAAACTGTAAAGAATGAAAAAAGGAACGCAAAATTAGATGAGGTAATACTTTATGATATTTAAATTATCTGCATTAAAAAAACGTTATGATGGATTTGGAATAATTTTTTTAAAGCTCTATCCAACGTGATTAATTTAGAGGAAAATTGGGAAATATTTCAACAAGTCTTTAAGTGAATTAAACTCAGATTGTCTGGACTTTCTAAGCCGTTTGCTACTCAAAAAAGGAAAAACCACTTCTGAATGTGTTCTTAACGTGATGCAATGTCAGTGGATGATAAACAGATGTAACGGGAGTTGGTGTCTTTGAATTAAATCTTAAGTACTAAATCCTAATGCGTCGCAGTTTAATTGGAAAATTATTTTTCAGCAAGGTTCTTGATTCACTTGAATTTAAAGAATAGAAATTGTCTATACCATTTTATCATCAGATTACGTTGGTTTACTTCCATTTCTATATCATTTTCGTATTTTGAAACAATTTGTACATTTTCGGTTACGAGATCAAAATCCTCAAAAAAGTTTTTTGTTTACTTCTTCTTAAAATTTTTATTTACAATTCCACTAAACCGAGTTTATGCAACGAGTTTTAAAACTTTAAATGATTTCAATGAAAAATTTCCTAGAAATCTTAAAAACTTTAGCTCAAATCTAATAGGGTTATTGACCTGGATGAACCTGAAAAGTAGCAATCCTCTTTGGTTTTGATTTATTTTTAAAAACAATTTATTGATTCACTTTTTCAATTAGAAAATTCTTGAGTTTCAAAATATTTTAATTAATTTTCTTGAACATTCGAGAGCAGCGTAAATGATCAATTTAATGATATAATTATGATGGATTTATGTAAAGCACATATTTTCCAATTAATTATATTTATATGCTCATGCTCTTTAAAATACTTGTACATAATAATGTAATTAGTAAGATAATTTTAATAAATAAATGACGTGATAAGTTTTATTGATGTAAATATTTTGAATAGTTCTTAAGACATTTTCGAATTAAATGAACATCTTATAAGATGTATGTGCAGAAATGATTCCAAAAATACAAAATTTTCTCTCTTCTCTTATCTCTTCGCTTCCTCCTCTACACTCCTTACATTTTGCGTCTTCTCAAATTTCTCAAAGAGTAATGAAATTTATTCCAGCAATAAGCTTCGATAATTTAGAATCAATTGTGCTTGAGTACGTGACAATGGCGATGAAGAATCAAGAAGCAGCCAACATAAAACGTTTCATGAATTTATAAAATGTCAGTAAATAGATATGTTTGTATTCATCCATTCAGCCAGCAATTTTTGCTATGTATCTTATGTACTTATCGTTTATGAAGAAACTCGAGAAACTTACGTAAGTAGTTACTAAATACATTTGCACACATGAGTCGTATAAACGAAATGAATTATGCTACATTTCATTATTTATAATCTTCTAAAATGGCTATTAACATTCTCTTTAAGGCGCATCTTTTGATGAAAAAAAGTATATTGTTCTATACTTGTCCATCAGTCCGTTGTTAACAGAATTAATTATAGATTGATGTCAAAACTTTTCGACAGACTTACTTCAAGGTTTGAATACAACTTATTTAAACTAAAGATTTAACAGGAAATTTCCCAGTCGAATCAAGTGAATATTAGAAACATATTAAATACGCTTTTAAGTCACTTACTCGTGCACTTCCTTATTAATTTTTTCATCTTTTCTGCCACTCAAAAGATTTTAATTTGCAACAAGCTTTGTAATTTTTTTTCTTGCTTCTCTTCCTACTGTTTACGCAAAACATTTGAAGATAACGACGAGAGACCTTACAAAAAGATGTTTTCACGGTTTCCTCAAACATAAAAATTTCAATTTGTTTCTCATTTCTTCTTCTTCTGCGCTCTTTTCTCTTCAAACGATTCATTTTTTCTCTTCCTTTAATGTTTTCATGTACCCGAGCACGAATCGTCGTCTTCTTCATTTATAATCAATAAAGTGAATTTCAAAAAAGAAAGAAAAATTATTCATTGACTTGATTCATTGGCAGTCTCACTCTCCATGAAATTAATGATGTTTTTAAAAAAAGAAAAGCAAGAAAAATCCATTTCGAATTTATTCCATCTCTTGTCCCTTTTTTTTTTCACTGAATGTATCATCCCCAAATTTATAAGTGTCTAGAATTTGTGTAAAATAATTTTTTGTAATATCCTTCTCAGTTGCTTACAATAAAGAAAGGAAATGAGTACAGCTGCTTAAAAATTATTATTATGATGGATATACAATGTTGAGTGCCTTTTGTGAAATTTAGGAAAAGAAAGGCAGCACTATGCTGTAATCTTCTTGAAAAAAGTAGTTTGTGCTTTTGATTTGGAACAATTTTAATAATTTTTATTATTAAACAATTTTTCTTGTAGGTTTTTAAGCTTAATTTATTGGTTTCAAAGCTTTATTTTGCCATAAGGCTATTAAATTCCATTAACTTCATGAAACCTTTTATGTGCGTATCATAGTTACTAGATCTTAATAGTTAAAATGATTAAAGCAATAAGGTTATTTTACGAGTAAGGTTATATTTAAGTTTCACTTGACTCATGCAACTGAAAATAAGTGAAATATTTTTAAAATACATTAGCTTTTAAAATCTCAAATATTTCTTTTTCTTGTATCTCATAATTAATTTTTTTTAAAAACCTACTAATTACATCCTTAAATTTGAAGATTCTTCGAGACTAAGTTGACTTATAAAAGTTGAATATTTTTGTGCTAGTTACTCTAGCTACAATCAGTATCGTTATCTCTATTATTTACAATTGAATTATGATGTAGCCCCAATAAACAATAATACTCTCAAGGTTGTTAAATGTTTTCTTTTTTAATTTAAAAGTTTTCAAAACTATGCCTAATCTCCTCTTTTTCAAGCACACATAGCCTTATCAATTAAATGTCAGCATATTGATGAATCTAACATGTGAAAAATCCACAACTTTATGAATATTTCATGAAAAAGCTTTTTCCTTCTGTTGCTGTCTTAACGTTTAGAAATAAGCTGAAAAAGTGCTTCTTAAATAAAGGGGTTATAACCTTTTATATCAAGAAAAGGAAGCTTCTCGTTTTGAAAAATCGGTGAAAGGCTGTAAATAAAAATTTGGCAGTTAAACGAAACTTGTTCTCATGAAATTATTCGATTTTAAGTCATCAACGAAATAATTTTAGAATTTATTGCCGAAAACATTTAACCAGCCTAGACCAGCATTCAACATGGAAAATTTCGTATTGAATGTTTTCATTTAACAAGCAGTAATTGAGTTGATTAACATTTTCGAAAAATTATTTCATGGTGAAACAGTAAGCATACCTAAATGTTCAAATGGCTACATAAGCTTTATGATTTCTGTTTGGTACTTTTTTCACTTGAAAGCATATGGAGTCAATGAAACATTTAAAAAAATTTGAAACAGATTATTTGATTTGGTTTTGTTTACAGCAAATAATTTTCATGGAAAAAATCTTTTGGTATGGAAATTGAAATCCAAAATTATCAAACTTTTCCCTTTGTTCCATTTAAATATCGATTATTTTTTGTCAAACAAAAGTGAGCTTTAATCAAAGTCTAAATGATTTTCTTAACTTTCTTTTATCCTTGAAAAATCCAATCAATTTGACATAATAATCTAGAATATAATCTTTATTGATTGCTTGTAATGTCTTCTATTAAATTTCACCGATAAATTCTTTTGAATAAAAAAAAATTATGTCCATAAATCTTAAATTAAATTAGTGGGATGACTAATTTTAATAAAGCTACAATCCACAAAAATCACAAATCCTTTGTTTGTATTATGTGACATTCAAAATTGAAGTGAGTATCCAAATATGTTGTAATATAAAATATTCAGAATATATCAGGATAATGCATTACTTTGTGGTATTAAACCTTAAATACCCATCTCTATTTCATCACATACAATATTGACTTCATGATTGATAGACTTGGAGACGCTTTGATTTGTATAAAAATACTTTATTATTGGCTTTAGCCATTTTGTGGAAATTGAAAAGTGTCAAAAAATGTTGAATCTTTTTTGATATGGGATCCACTCAATCATGAATCTTACGAAAATGGCATTAATTAACAAAGTTTTTATTTGTCATAGTCCTTAAAAGCTCATCATAAATTCAGGTTAAATTTATTTAATTTCTTTGAAAACTGTTAATTAAAACTTCATTTGAATTCGTATGGAATCCTTGACCAATTATTTATAAACCACGACTTAATTGAAATTTTGATAAAATCTTCAGTAATTACTTCAAACTATTCACTTAAAATTGAAACATTGACGATAAAGTTCAACCACATACTTTCCCATCTTCAGATTAAAAGCAATGAACAGAAGTTTTATATTCAAAGATGACGGATGAAATTTAAAAGTACCGTAAAAGTTGCATCTTCCCAGAAAAGAAGCTTAAAAACTCGTTTTCGGTAATGATTTTAAAGCTTTCTTATCGATTATGTTTGCCTTTGATTCTTTCCATGAAAGTAAATATTTGCAAATTGATTCTATAGCAAACAATTATAATTTCAAATTACTTTCTGGTACAATTTAAAGCATAGCTGTAAATACATTTAAAATTTTTGTTATGGAAGCAACTTTATTCATGAGAAGTTTGCAGGAGATTTAAAGATTATATACTTAATTTTCAAAGCTAATTGATTCTTAGAAATTATGAAAACTTTTAATATGATTATAGTCTGATGACTGTTATCCAGACATGATATGCAGAGGGCTTACATTTGCAACTATGATCGAATTTTTAAAATACTACAACAACATAGAAACAGTTTTCAAATATTTAAATTCAAGGTTGCAATCAACTATTGTTTTTCATTTATATTCATGCTTTCATCATGGTACATATCTAATATTCAATTGCATTAATTTTCAGAATTCAATTTAAAATCTAGTCTCCAATTATATTTACTGATTAAACATTTGCAAAAAGCATGATTTTGTAACCA